TCCATTTAAATATGCAGCTCGATTTGCTTTTCGCTTTAATTAAAACATTATTCACTGCGGCAATACTAATTATTCAACTGCACGCAGTAAAAGTATGTAAATAACTTATTCGCATTAATCTTCTTTTATACATTGACGCAATTGATACAATCAAGGCCGCAAAGTTTAATTTTGGCGCGAATCTTCAAAAAGGCGATTCTGACGCAAATATTTGTTGTCGAACGTAAAACGCTATATATATGTATAAAAGTAAAAAAAAAAACAAAAAAAAACAAATTCGATTATAAAAATCCCGAAGTTGGGTTAAGAACTTTTCGCGCGCCAAGCATTGTTACGCGAGGAATATCTTTTCTTATGGTCGCAATTGCGACGCAGCAGCCGGAAGAACGGAGCAGAAGAGACGTCAGCAAGAAAAATTGAACTCGCCCGGCAGTTGCGAGATAATATTATTCAGTGAGCGATTGTATTGTTAGATGAGATGCTTCGAGATAAAAGAAAACAAAGCAAGGACAAACAGAGAATTCGAATGAGAGTTACAACACCTTGATCGATCTGTCGCGCGGTCTTTTAAAGACTGCGCCAGTCCTAAGAAGAGACAAGACATTACATATGTCTATTCTATTCGTTTATGTTGTCCGCGTTATATATTTTTTCTTTCTTTTCCAAGACAAATTGACTGCGTTATTTTTCGCGCGAAGTCGAATGAGTTTAAAATTCAAACGTCTAACGTCGAACATAAATCTATTGTTTCTTGAAAAATTTACTTTCCTCGTTATACGTGTTTTTACAACATACAGCCGAACAAAATTTCGCATATCTATTCTTGTCGTATCACGAAACGCGATAACTAGCGCAACTGTTAATTGCAATTATCAACTTCCGTATGTACGTTATGCCGTCTGCCGGCATTGCGTGTGCGATCGTCGCGGCGTGTAGCTGTCTTCACGTGTCGCGAATGAAACAACAACTTTGCGTTCTTTTTGTCTCTAATTATATCTCTCCTCTTTTTTTTTTTACTGTTAATCTTCAATTTCACGAATGTGTGTGATACATCACGCGAAAAGACAAATTACCGTACCGCGTGTTGCATGTCCGCAACTTTTGAAAGAGGTATCCCAAGGTAAAAGGTGAAGTTAAACTTTTACCAGCTGGTCAAAGAGTTTCGCTGTCGAAAAGTTATGAAAGCCCCGAGCTCAGTAAACTACACGTGGCATCCGAAATATCGTACATGACGGCGAATGAGTCTGGTTTTCCACGGTTCATTTAATGTTCGAAACAGCATCAAAGACATGCGCGCGCGCGCGAGATGCTCGAAATCCATTCAAGCAATGACGAACGCACGCGCGCACTTCAATAATCGTGTCGAGACGATAAATGATTCTGCACGTTAATGCAATTTTGTCGTGAACGGGCTTCGCTGCTATCGCGGCCAACAAAATTGATCTTAATTCTCGGAGGTGATCGACCGCGGTCTTGGCCAATGTGCAAGTAAAATACCGCGCGGTTCGGGATTAGACGTACTTTCCATAACGTGTGCCAAATTTTAATGGGCACACTTGGCGCTCCAAAGTAGCTGCTTACAATAAAATTAATGTAAATGGAACTTGACTACTTGTCGAATTAATTTGATTAATCGTGTAATACGTTTTTCGCATAATAAAATACATCAATTGTCGTAATTTATTTTTACAAGTTTCCTCGATTTTTTTTTTTTTTTTTTTTTATTACGGGATACGCGACATGTATACATAACTTCAGCGTGTACATATATATGTATACGCTGTTGAAATTAGAAGACCGTAAGTTTGTGAAAACTACGAGACGGCGTTCTCTTAAGGATTAAGTAATTTGGAGCAACTTCTCATAATTACGTAACTCGCTAGCGCAAATTAAGGCATAACTTCGCATACTTGATTGTAGCTCTAATCTATTCTAATCTAATCCCAGTCACCCCGTCGTGCAATTTCGAGTTATGGACGAGGGAATGGCGTGTAAATTAGCGTGTATAAATTTTATTACATGCGCGTCACAATAATTATTCGTATGACGTTTCAGCTGATGACGTATTGCGATGCAAATTTTATTATTTTACATTTATTAACACAACTCTTTTATCTAACTGCTAATCGCGACGTGCACATATCGTCACTCCCTACGTATAATTACATAAGTGTCACATATGGAATTTTCAGTTTATTGCATAGTGACACTCAGAAAGTCATGTTCTTTGTGGTCACCAAGTATTAAAAAAAAATATTCATAAGTATGATAAAAATTTAAAACCGAAAGATCCCTTAACTAGGGGAACTATATGAAGCTTCAACCTTTTAAACTGCTCTCCTCTAAAATTTGCGTTTTGGAGTTACGGGATTATACGTAGGGAGTGACGATATATGTATATCTACAGCAAATGTTCATTCGATACATGTTATAATATATGAAAATATGTGTTATATAATGATAATTGAATCAAAACAGGTCAACGAGAATAAAGGTATATATTGCCTAATTATAAACGATATATTCCGTAATTAGTGCAGAAGAGAATTTGGCCGCATCGGTTTATTTCATCGATAATTTCTGTGAAACTGTATCAGTCTTTCTGCGTGCGGAAACCCGATGAGCTTGCAGGCCGCGGCAGAAAATCGCGGTAACCCGAGTTTGTCCAATGGAGCATCCGTGTTTTGCGTACGTGTGTGCCGATTGGTCGTGTCGCACGCGATCACGCGAGAGTAGCCAATTGGAACGAATGCCGCCGCGACAGAGAGGCCAGCGTCCTCTGTCATTATTCACGTCACATTAAGCATTTATTATGTTTAACGTTACATTTACCTTGGGGTTCGTTCGCTCCGCTCGAGATCGATGTAACACACGTGAATGCCGCCACCACTCGATCACATCGCGCGCCACTCGGCCGCGAATTTAAATACCTAACATCTCTATGTATCGACGAGCATTATCGGGGAAAATATCGTTTAATTTTTCCATATTACTTTGCATTTTACTTTTTCCCAAAATAATTTAATTTATCATTACAGTGTACAAAAATAACATTGTTTATTTAATAATTCACCAAGCAAAAATTGAATTACTGAAAGAAAATCGAATTAAAATTTGTGAATCCAATTTAAAAAATCACAAACAAAGGCTTTGCGCACCGAGGGTCAGAAACAATCGATCTTTTTTTTCCTTCCAACTGTTACTCCGTGTGTTTATTATTCCGTGAAACGCGGAAGTTGATCCCGTAATGCGAGCATGAGGTCGGCGTGTACCGCTCGGGATATATAAAGTATAATCAAGCACCGCTTATTTTCATGTAAATAAGAAAATATACGTAAAGCAACGGAAAATTATTTTTACGAAACGCTGATTTTTTTATTGAGATGTAAATAATAATACATATATAAAATGCGTAATTATAACAAAGACGAAAAGAATTTACGCTTTTTTCTTAGAAAATATATCTTCAATGATATATTTATGTGAAAAAGTAATTAAGTTTTTGATACACACATGTATAACACGTGATTTTTTAGCCATCTAACAATTTAAATCAACTGAAGAAAAGAATATTTTAACGCGCACTGCTTCACATATATTTCGTAACTGGTGGAAATTTTTTGCAATCTTGTGTGTAAAAGTTTTCAAATTTATTATTCTCTTCGGTAAACAAAACGCGTTAAACGTCTGATGTTATTTCAGATACAACAATCTTAACTTAAAATATCAAAGTGACACATTCCTAGATAGAACGCGACTGAGAGAAATATGACCGCGTCAAGCGCGGCAAGTTCACGCCGCTTTATATTTAAAGTTTGAATCGTCCCTTTAAAAGCCTCGTGTTACCGAGGACGAAACAGCTGAACGAAATGAATGATATCCTTACCTTGGTATCTCGGGACGTGTGGTAGTAGTAAACAAAGGCGAACATCCACGCGCATGACAGTAGCAACGCGATCTTAACGTTCCGCCGCATGACTGCTCTTCTGAATCTCACTTGTTTCGCGTCGCACGTATTTCACCCGCCCGATTAATAATGCTTGATTGTAAGTCTTCTCGTCGTGAATCCTCGTCCTTCTTTCTCATAAAACGGGGCACGCACATCCGCGATCGAGAATGCGGCGCAACGCGATGGAACACTATTAATCCACACGTACCGGCAGCCGAAGCCATACTGTCGAAGCCTGACAGAATGCGGACTCAGGCGTCCAAGCTCGAGCGTCGCCATCTGCCGGCGGCGTACCGGACATATTTACCGCCCGCCTTCTATGCCGTACATCGAATGTTTGCGCGCGCGCAAAAGCGCAATTTAATTAATAATTAACAATTATGATTGCAACGTAATTGTCGATTGGAATTACAATTACACATCTCGTTAATTGCAGCAAACAATTATGTGAAATATAATTGCGAAAAGTAATTGTGCATAAACAATATTGTAGTTTTGCGTGTCAATTTAATTGTAGTTTAGTTAATTATTTATAATTGATACAATTATTTGCAGTTAAAGATATTTTAATATTAATTATATGTATAAAAAATAATAATATTTATACTTATATATTTTGTGTATCCTGAGACTTGCTGAGAACTTGACGGAGAGAAAATAAATAAAATCATTTCGATATGAAAAAATACAAAATGTGTACATGCTCTTTTTATCTGAGGTTTTTTTTTATCAAGCTGAATAAATATGCGTGTAATATACTTGCAATAAAATAAAATCGGAATATAAACCAGTATATGCAATCATGTATAACAAATAAAACAAACAATGTTTCAGAAAAAATAAATGTTTTTCATAACTCTCGGTATAATCGTTCATAGGATGTATCATAATTTTTCATGGATTTTTACGTCAGGGATATCTCGCACGGCATACGTAATTTATAGCAGCTGTAAACCGATATATTGGGTGGATTCCGATAAATCTTCCAAATACGCCCACTACGGAGATGCAGACCAAGCGATGTCGATCTCATACGGATCAGTTTGTCGCGATCTGTCTTTTCGGCAATAGTTCCGCGTGAGTCTGACGAGGTATGACAGAATAATATTTAGTTTACTGAGTTCTCCAAACCCGTCACTGGAATGGCCTCTGCATCGGGATGGTGCCTGTTATTATACCTGAGTTTCTGCGTGGCGTGGATGGACGAGAGGTATTCTCCGCGATAAGAGTTTGCACAGCGCTCGTCGTCAATGTCTTTTTGGCATATCATTTGCATTTGTATCGCATCCGCTATATATGCCAAATCAAATTTTAAAAAAACAAACATGAATTTGCATTATATTTCGATATACGACTGTTAAAGCTGGTGACGATACGTGTATCACGACAGAGAACAATACGTAAAAAATGTTACAAATAAACAATATATGTTTAAAAATCTATACATATATATATATATATATAAATATCTATATATTAGGCTTTATTTTTTTACATAAGTTCTTGATGTTACATAAAAGAACTTCTGAAAATAATTTGCAAATGTTCGAATTCAGGCCCGTTCTCGAATCCCAAGATGGACATCTTATAATCTCTAGCGCAAAAGACAGAAATATCACATTGAAGATAATAGGGGGCGGTTTTGTGAACGTTAACGAAATCAATCTGCTTCACGTAGCATCGGCGGTAATGAACATATAATTTATATAGAAGAACACAAGTATGGATGCAATTAGTGGTCAACGCGCGAGTTTCGTTCTTTTTAGGCGCAAAATGCGACGCGAGTCATCGACAGATGGCGAATGGGATACTTGGCTGAAATGGAGAATTCTCTTCAGCAACTAACGACTATAGTGACAGGCTCCACAGGTTTGCAGAGAAGAGTCGCTACGCTCGAGAGAAACATAGATGTAAACGGCACGAATGCCGAGAACAGATCACGTTTTGTAAGAAATTATACTAAGAAGCAATATTGAATCGATAGTTTGCACTTTTGCATACGTATTTCCTTTGAATTTTTCTCGAGAAAGTTATGTCGGAAGAAACGTGAGAATATTTTTATTATTTTACACGAAACAGAGTGAGAAACAAAAATTTAACGAAAATAAAACCTCGATAGATATAACACGTTAAAGTTATATTTTATCAGTTAGACTAATGTAAAATAATATATATCTTAAAATTACATTACATTCAGCCGTATAATAAAAAAAATACTATCTTTTTAGAACAATATTTCGGGCTTTACAAGAGCTAACATCCGTCGTATCAACATGCGAGTATGTATACATGAGAAAGATAAATATAAAAATTTAATTAAAATCACATTCTTTTAAATGATTAAATTAGTGACTTGTAAAAAATGTGTGCGTTCTTTTAAAGATCAAAGCATTGGAAGATTCGCTGAGAGCTTTGCAAACCTTGCTCCGAGAGAACGAGTGTCAGAGCAATCCGTGTCAAAATGGCGGTACATGTGAAGATCTCTTCGATGGCTATCAGTGTCACTGTCCATCAAATTGGGAGGTGTGTGTGTGTGTGTTAAACATATTGCAAAGAGAAAATATATTTAGTACATTATTATTTTGTAATTTATGATCATTTATGCCATTTTTTAACATAACAATTTCTAGGGTCCAGATTGTCGAACAGACGTTAACGAATGCGCGAGATTTTACGGCACAGATCTTGGATGTCAAAATGGAGCTTCATGTCACAATTTGCCTGGATCTTTTCGGTATACAACTATCAAGTATTTTATTACAGTAATATCTATTTATTACTAGTAGTAATATCTATATTTATTACTAGCAATATTAATAATCATGTATCGTTTGTTTGTATTTTTTGTAAAAAAAGATTTGTGACTTAAGATTTTCTCAAAATTTCTAAATTTTTTTAGTTTTTTATTTTTTTTTATAATTCTGTGTTCAAATATTTCTAACAAGAAAATGTAACATCGTCGTTCAAATGCGTGATTTCTCAGATATATATTATACAGAATACACCTGTGTAATATCGTTTCGATTTCTAGATGCGACTGCTTGCCGGGATGGTTTGGTCTTCATTGCACGCAGAAGACATCGATTTGCAATACAGAAAACTCCGGGGCGCTCTGCGGCGAACATGGTGTGTGCGTCACAAAAAGCAGTAGCTCTCTCGGATATACGTGCATCTGCGATCAAGTACGATTTTTTTCCCTCTTGAGAAAAAAATACATCTTCTCTCCCCTTAACAACTGTTTTTCTCCCTTAACATCATCGAATTATTAAACGAAGCCATTAATATTTTTTTTAATAACTTAAAAATAGAAATAAATTCTTTTGAGTTTTAATCTTTATTTAGAAAAGAGATCAGGAAATTTGTTTTTATCTTTCAAGGGTTGGGAGAGCGACGGCACGAATCCGGCTTGCACTAAGGATGTGGACGAATGCGCTGCGTCTCATCCTCCTTGTTCTGTGAATCCACGAGTGATGTGTCTCAATACGCTCGGCTCATTCAGTTGCGGCGCCTGTCCGCACGGTTATACCGGAAATGGTTATTATTGCACTGACATCGACGAGTGTTCGATCAACAACGGTGGCTGCAGCATCTCGCCTTATGTGCAATGCATAAATACAATGGTAAATACGCACAAACGATACATTTATGTGTATAATATGTGCAGTAAAATTATTATTATCTACTTATTTTCTTATAAAATTTGTAACATATAATATATGTAAAAAAGGACGAAAGAGACTACATTTACTTATTTCAGCGATGATTTTTGCAGGGTTCCAGAATGTGCGGCTCCTGTCCTCCGGGATATCGCGGCGACGGGATCAGTTGCATTTTTGTCGGCGGTTGCGCCATCAACAACGGCGGTTGTCATCCATTAGCCACTTGCACCGAAAATCCATCGCTCACGAGTTCTTACGTGCTTTGTCGCTGCCCGTCGGGCTACATCGGCAATGGAATGGGACCAAACGGCTGTCAATTAGTTGATGTGGTTAATACAGCGTGTTCCAGCAATCCCTGCGTGAACGGTACATGCGTTCCAAACGGTGCAAATGGCTTCACTTGCATATGTAACGCGGGATATACAGGTATAGTGAGAGAGGATGGAAACAATTCCATAAACTGTAACATTTTGCAACACTCCGTTTTGCGATCATGACTGGATATGTAAGATACGGAATTAGTTCGTGCTCACGTCAAAAATGTTCAATAAATATTGTAAATATCAAATGTCACTTGTACGGAGATAAAGATAATGTTCAAATTTGCGTTTTACGAGAAGTAAGCACGTCTATATTTTTAATTAAATATATAACTATCAAAAAAAAGCACTGTCACTTATCTCGTACATTTTTATATTGTTTTATTATTATCGTATTCTTTATATAAACTTTTAGGAACCACATGTAATATACGACCCTATACGGCCGATCCGTGCTGGTCGAATCCGTGTCGTAACAGCGGTACCTGTGTCGTTTTAAACGGACAGGCAACGTGTCAGTGTACGTCCAGCTTCACGGGAAATAGGTGCGAAACACCGCGACAGACGTGCGGCGGTGTGACACGAAACCCCACGGGAACACTTCAATTTCCTATGGACGGTAGTACCTATCAGCATGGATTGAGCTGCGCCTGGGTGTTGATCACGGATCCTTCGAAAGTCTTGAACGTCACCTTCACAGCTTTCAATCTCGAAGATTCCAGGGAGTGCAAGTTTGATTTTCTACAGGTGCGATGATGTTAACGTGTTATGCTTATGACAGTAAAAATTGTTTTTCTCTTTTATCTTTTGTCATCATTAGGATTGAAGATACGCAATATAAATGTCTCAAATCCTTAAAACGTTTTTTATATAAATGCTGTTTGAGATCTTATGATTGTAAGACAGACACGATACGAAAATTATTTCGATGGAATCTGTTCGCATTTTAAATCTTTAAAAAGTTTTCTATGTCTTTTTCCGTATTTTCTTTACAATGCGCATGTATGTGTTTTTAGATACACGATGGCAGAAACGCTGGCAGTCAAATGATCAACAGATTTTGCGGTAACACGTTACCGAACGGAAACGGGAACATTATCTCGTCCCACAATACCCTTTACTTATGGTTCCATTCGGATAGTAGTATATCTCACGACGGATTCACTTTTCATTGGAACAGTATCGATCCTGTTTGCGGAGGTAATTTGGAAGATAATTACGGTACAATAACGTCTCCAGGGTCTCCAGGAAGATATCCCCCGAACAGGGATTGTTTATGGAGAATTTCGATTGCTGATTCAAAAAGAATTCAATTCCACTTTGGACAAGTGATGCTCGAGCAAAATTGCACAAAGGATTACTTAAAGGTAAACGCTTCATCGGATCAGATTACTTCGAAGTTGCATGTTTTTTTCACTCGAATGACTTTGAACATTCTTTTGTTGCGTTATCAAATCTTTTATGTGATAAATTAATTGTTATTATTTGTTGTTATTTTATTATATTAGGTTCTGGGCGCAGAGCACGAACTTTTAGGACTTTATTGCAATCATACTCGTCCACCACCTCTGGTCACTCCGAGTTCTATAGCACGGGTCATTTTTCATTCCGACGAGGACGGTCAAGATGCTGGTTTCCAAATTCATTACTCGCTGATTGAAGGTATTTACGGAAGCGACTTAATTTATATTTATTAATTTAATGTAATTTACCTGTTATCTGCGTTCAGTTTAGTTCGATGATTTTTTTTACCTAATTTGAGACAGGTAATTAATAATAATTTACAAATCAATTCGTATCATTTAGGTATACCCGGTTGTGGTGGAACGTTTACTACTCCCAGCGGCGTGATTCATCCGCCTGGACGGTCTAATTATTCCCCAAATATGGAATGCGAATGGAAGATACAGCTACCAGAAGGCGAACGAATAAAAGCGTCATGGTCACAATTCGAACTCGAGACATCCTACAGTTGTCAATTTGACTCTGTTGAGGTAAACTTTTTTTTTTTTTAGTAAACCGCAAACAAAAATATTTTATAATGTGTTATTTGAATTTAGTATAATATACAACCTACTTCCTTGCTCGTTTTTGTTTCAACTTTCTCAACAATATTTTGTTATACCGCAATAGATAAAAAATTTCTCTTCTAGGTTTATGATGGGCCTAGCACGGATTCTCAATTACTCGGTAGATACTGCGGATCGGTTCTACCGCCGACCATCAAATCCACCTCGAACACTTTAGTTATCATCTTCAAGTCCGACTGGTCATATGAATTGGAAGGATTCGTATTGTCGTACGACACCTTGTGCGGCGGCGAGTTCCGCGACGAAACCGGAATCATCAAGTCGCCCTTCTATCCGGAGCCTTATCGCGAATCGAAAACGTGTATCTACGAGATCATACAACCGACAAATAAAAGAATCGTATTGACCATAGAGGACTTGGAAATCGAGGGTAGGAATTCAGAATGCTACTACGATTACCTCGAGATTTACGATGGCGATAGCGAAAACTCAACGAAACTCGCCACGCTATGCGGCAATCGTGAAAGCATGTCAGATAATTCTTATTATTCCGCATACAATTATATGTACTTGAAATTCACGACTGACAACAGTGTCGAAAATCGGGGCTTCAAAGCCAATTACACAACCCTCAATCGCAGTGAGTTGATCAAAAAATTTTTCGTGAAATTGCAAAACTCAAAAAATTAAAAAAAGCAAGCTTAATGTTGTTCTTTCTTTTGTCAAGGATGTGGTGGATTGTTGAAAGAGACGAGCGGAGTAATCCAACCACCTATTGAAGATGGACTGTATGTCAATAACGAAGAGTGTATCTGGACCATCAAAGCACCACCGGGACACATAATACAACTCACCTGGTTGTCGTTTCATTTGGAAAATCAGCGTGATTGCAGACATGATTACGTCAAACTTTACGAAAACTACATTTCACTTAACGAAAATGTAACAGCAACGTATGTTGACAGATTTCTTGTTTCTTTCAACAGCTGTGTTTTTTTATTTTATTTTACATATATTGACTATATATGTATGTATATACATATATATATATATATATATATATATATATATTTTTTAGATATTGTGGTAATAATAAACCAACCGACATGACAACAGAGGGTTCCACACTTACCATAGTTTTCCACACTGATTCGAGTATCAGATACGAAGGATTTGTCGCCTCGTACACCTTTGCGGACGCATCGAAGGTCTGCGGTGGTCGTTATTTGAAACCGTCCGGATTTATTAGATCGCCAAATTATCCAGAAGTTTATCTAAACAACAAAGATTGCGTTTGGATCATCCAGGCCGAAAACAAACATAGAATTATTCTTACGGTTGAGTACTTCGAAATAGAGAAACATTCGTCTTGTTCATTCGATTACTTGGAAATCAGGTAATTAATTGAAATTTCTCGCTCAGACAAACTGTTATTCTGTGTTATTCATATATTTCAGGAACGGTGGATATGAATCCTCGCCGTTAATCGGCAAATACTGCGGCACCGATATACCCACCGAAATACCGAGTCAGACTAATCAACTCTACATTAGATTTTTTTCGGACTATTCGAGATCGCTGAGAGGTTTCGAGATAAAATGGGACAGTACCACGGAAGGTATAAAGAAAAACAAAAAATTTCTCCGACAAGAATTCTCACAAGTTGTTTTATGTTCCGAATTTACATATTCGAGTTTTTAGGATGCGGCGGTACGTTGTCCGGGATCAGCGGCGACATTATATCACCGAACTATCCCGAACCTTACACTGACAACGCGGATTGTTATTGGAAGATCGCTGTGGCGGCAGGTAATTTGGTGGAAATCGTGATACTGGATCTCGAACTCGAGTCGAACTTACGGTGCAGATATGATTTTATCGAAATATTCGACGGCATTTTGCACCGCACAAATAAAAGACGTTACTGCGGCGGAACGTATCCGAAGATCATTCAGTCCAAGTCCAACGAAATGACCATTCGGTTCCGCAGCGATTTTTTGACTTCTGCTCGCGGTTTTCATATACAATATCAAACGCGTAAGTTATTAACTTGTTAGTATGAATCAATCGATGTCACTGGTTGAAAAAAAAAAAAAAAAATATTTTTAAAATGGCTGTGTTATTATTTTTATTGTATTTTTTATGTTGTTTTTATACTGCAGGATGTCACAACAAATTAAGCGGTTCCCACGGCGTGATAGAGTCGCCGAATTTCCCCAACGAGTACGCGCATTCGACGAACTGTAGCTGGACCATCGAGGCTCCGATTGGCAACACAATCAATCTAACTTTCTCGCATTTCGATCTCGAAGAACCGCGTAAAAGAGAAGAACAACAAAATTGTGGATACGACTATCTTCTAATCACGGAGGGTGAACAAGACACCTCCAACACCGAGCTAGGTCGATACTGCGGAACTGTCGATCTTCCGTTAAGGATCCACTCGACGCAACATCAAGTATTCATAAAGTTCATCACGGACCTATTTATCGCTTTCGCCGGTTTTCGACTCGAATGGGTTGTGCACGGCTGCGTCGAACATTTTACTAAACCGTACGGCGAGTTTACATCACCCGGATACCCATTGTCTTATCCGACGAATGTTGACTGCGAATGGTTGATTGAAGTGGATCATATGCACAGCATCGAGCTCACTCTTCACGAAGTGAGTGTATTTCAAAAAGTTGTATTTTCAGATCAAGTACCAAGACTAATATTTTTCCTCCTTCTCTCTCTCTCTCTCTCTCCTACACTTTTTTGAACACGGAAACTTTATCTCTTCCCAGATAAACACCGAGAACCGCAAGGGATGTTACTTTGACAAACTTCAAATCTACGGCGGTGAGGATGTTGACGCGCCGAAATTAGCCGAGCTCTGTTACTCAGACAAACCGGTGATCTATACCAGTCCCGGGAACAAAATGTTTGTGAAGTTCCACTCGGACATATCGTACGCCGGCCGTGGGTTTAACGCCACTTACAGAACCGTACCCATCGAATGCGGTGGTAAATTCACATTGAACTCGGGCGTCATTCACTCGACCAATTATCCGCAGAATTATCCAAAGATTCAGAATTGCGAGTGGCTGCTGGAAGTCGACAGCAATCATGTTATAAATCTCACTTTCACGGACTTCGATATCGAGAATAGTAGGAATTGTTCCGACGATTACGTTAAGGTATAATACGTGATAATTGAGAAACAAAAATTGATCTCTCATAGAAGTGGAGTAAATATTCGCAACATTTCTTTATATTATTTTACGAAACTTTACATTGTAATAGATCTTTGATGGACCGACGAAAGATGACCTGTCCCTATTGGGATGGCATTGCGGTAACACGCTGCCGCCGACTTATATCTCGCGTAGCAATCAAATGTTAGTGGTTATGCGAACCGACATGATGATTTCAGCCAAAGGATTCATGGCACAGTTTCGTAGAGCCTGCGGTGCTCGTATAATTGTGAAAGATCACGGTTTTCTTACGCCCCCGACTAGCCACAATGACGAATACGACACCAATAATTGCACGTGGACCTTGATAGCTGAAAATCCAGGTAAAACACAAGTCAACGCATTATCTACGTACTTTTGATACTATACAGTTCGAATTTTAAATGATTGGTTTCTTTTAAGTGATTGACACTCGATCTTTGAAAACAATGTTTTTCGCCGTAGATGACCACGTGACTATTATCTTCACGCATATGGAGATCGATCCGAATGATTTGACCACCATGATAGTTCACGATGCGACGAATCCTTTGATTATAAATCCATGTGCTTGGGTCTCTCTTCAAGTGTTCGAAGGTGAAAACACGGACGGTCCGGTTTTAGGAACGTGGTGCAACAATGTTACACCGCCGCCAGTTACGAGCACCGGAAATTCGCTCACTCTACATCTATTTACACAGTTCGAATTTTTTACCGGCTCCTTTGTCGCGACTTATTCCGTACTGAATACAGGTACGTCTCGAAAAGTAATTGCGATATTTACAAAAAAGCGATGTTTTTTAAAAACTTTCTGTTTTTGCTTTCTCTGTTTTTTTTTTTTTTTTTTTTTTAACACAGCTTGTGGCGGAAATTACACTTCTGAACAGGGGATGATCACGTCACCGAATTATCCCAAAAGCTATCCCCTGAACGCGGAATGCATCTGGATTTTAAATACATCACCTGGTAACAAGGTGACTCTCACGTTCTCGGAGTTCGACGTTGAATCGAGCGAAAATTGCGATATGGATTATCTGGAAGTGCGGGAAAACAGCGGAATCGGCAAGCTCATTAACGTTTTTTGCGGGACAGACGTCACGCCGATCACATCTTCGACCAGACTGTGGATCAAGTTCAAGAGTGACGGTTCGGGTACCGCCAAGGGCTTCATGGCTGAGTATAATTATATCGGTGGAAACGAACTTGAAGGACCTATAGGACGCATTACCTCGCCGTTATATCCGAGAGCTTACAGAAAATCGGGTGAATTTTCATGGCGTGTCACCGTCCAAATGGATTCGGTCATACGCATCGAATTCAAAGAAATACACATGGAAAACATTGACCAAGAATCGACGTGCCTTTACAAAGGTAGTGTTGAGGTAAGTATTTGTATCGAGGCATATGATTGTAAAATAATAAACATCCCACACAGACATCCATCCATCCAGACACCCATTAGACATCTATTAGATGTCGCATGGAGCTGTCGACGTCTAATAGACGTCTAATGGAGTTTTTTGTTCTCTGTGTGGGATGTTTAAAAGGTAAGAAGATAATTATATTTAATACATTTATTATTGTGTATTTAATATTCTAATGTTTTAATTCTTCGATCATAAGAGTTAATAAAAGATCGTCCACAAGCATAACTTGATCACATTAAACATTTTTCGTAATTCGTTTCTGGTTAGATATTTGATGGATATGACGAGGAAGCGCCAAGTTTGTTGAAAGTATGCGGCTATGTTCTACCAGATCCAGTGCAGTCATCGAGCAACGTGGTCTTTATCAAAATGGAGTTAATCGGTTATCTTGGAATGGGAAGTTGGTTTGATCTCACGTGGCTTCAAATACCAAGAGAAACTGCAACTACTTCTAAAGAAGTTACTTGTAATAAATATTCTATTATTCCTTCAATATTTTTTATTTGCAACAATTTTCATTTAATTGATTTTCTTTTGTTTTTGACTTTAATTGTTTATTTATTTTATTTCACACAGTATCAGAATGCAACAAGGAGGTAGCTTTGGTGGGCGATCACAACAACACGTATGCCTTCAGCTCGCCCGGTTGGCCGACCGGTTATGACGCCAATTTGCATTGCAATTGGGTTTTTACGTCGCCACCGGGCACACATTTAGTGCTGAGAATAATAACAATGGATTTGGAAGAAACTAGCAATTGTGTGGCAGACGCGGTTTCCGTTTATTCAGGATATGCGTTGACATCGACAAGTAACGCGAATCTGGAAAGCAGATTATGTCTGTCCAACGCCACCTCGAACTTAATTCAAGGAACAAATGTGATGACCGTAAAATTCGATACGGATTCGTTCATCAATAAAACTGGCTTTAACGCTTATGTGTATCGAGGTAACTACATCTAATTGTTTAATTTGTTTTTTAACAAAAAATTACTTTTAGTACGATAAAATATTCTTTAATTGTTATTGTGATATTCTAGATTGCGGAGGCATATTAACCGGTCCCAACGGCGTGATAGAGCACAATAATTCTTCTGTGAGAGCGATTCGAACGTGGTATTTCACGTGCGAATGGAACGTAACAGTGAGATTCGGTAGGACTATTAAAGTTCAGATTACGGAGATGTCCATAGACGCAATGTCCGATCATTCGTGTGGCGATAATTACCTGCTAGTTAGTAAACACATTATATTTTGATATGAGATAACTTTAAACAGTAAATGCGAACACGAGAAAATAATAAACAAAATAATTTACACACGTAACGCTTAATTTACACACGTGACGCATTTATTGGAGACAATAATTATTTAATTTAACATATTAGCAAATAAAAGAGAGAGAGTAAAAAACTTTTAAAAACAAATAAAAATAATCCGTGTATATAATTTTCTAGTTGCGGAACGGAAACGGAATACTTTCGCCTCTGTTGGGCAATGGTAAGTATTGCGGCGATGTGGCGCCAGAGGAACTGGAAACTACCGGAAACCATCTTTACGTTAAAGCTGCTGGCAGTGGTCTGCATCTTCGCTTCAAACTTTCTTACAGGTGATCTTTTTGCTTGCATATTCTTAATATATTCTTGAATCGATAAACGCTATGGATGTAGATTTCGTAACTTTGTAATCGTGAGTTAGCTAGACGATATTCATTTAAACTAATTCAATTCGAATTACTTGGTTACTTTAATTCTTGTCGTATTGTAGAGAAGTGAGCATGACTTGTGGCGGCGAGTTCGTCTTCTCAAGCAGAGAAAAAAGATGGAACATCTCGACTCCCAACTATCCGTCCATTCCTCCAACCTATGCCGAATGTACTTGGATAGCGACTGCTCCGCCTGGCGAAACAATCTCTATCCATTTTATAGAAAGATTTGATCTGAGCTACAGCGAAAAGTGAGAGAGAGTTCTGAATTGCGCTAACAAGATACAAAATAAATCACTACATTAGAGAATTAATCAAAAATAATAATTTTACATCATAACAATTATTTTCAGCTGCGAGAGAGAATACGTTGAGATAAGAGACGGCGGAACCGACAGTTCGAAGTCCATGGGAAGATATTGCAAAGACGTGGCACCCAGCAGCATGACTACCATCGGCAACATGATATATATTCGTTTTTACACGGACGTGCTGGAACCTAAAAATGGTTTCAAAGCTGAAATTGTTGCAGGAGGTAAGCGACGCATATAAACGTATTTTATCAATTGTGAAAAACTCATTATCTTTGCTGTTTTTTTTTCTTTTACGTAGAAATGTGCGGTGGAATTTTGCGCGGTACCAGCGGTGTCATCAATTCGCCGCTTTATCCGCATGACTATCCCACAAACCAGAATTGCTCCTGGATAATAATAGGACCGACCGATCACACCTTGAAACTGCAATTCCGCGATATACGACTTCCCGGTTTTCCAACTGGATGCAACACCGATTACGTTAGAATCAGTGAAAGATTCACAGACAATACCAGTGAGTAGGCGCGCATAAAACTGATTGCGTAAACATTTTGAATGAAAATTTAACAGCGACAAGTAAACGTAAATCTTTGTGTACAGCTTCGATAATTGGAACTTATTGCGGTCTTGAAAAACCGGATGTAATTGAAACATCGACGAACGAGGTGTACGTGAACTTCAAGAGCGACAACAGGAATTACATAAGTTACACGGGCTTCAGTATAAACTTTACCACTAGCCAAGAAAGTTAGTATAATCGTAAAATAATTTGTGTGTTGAGCAATTTTCAATAGCATGCTTTAAACTTTATGTATAAGCTTATTGATATAAGCTTCAAATAAGCTTCAAATTTTGTTACAAACTTTACATCATATCTGCTTGTAGCGTGCGGAGGTTCATTATCCGCAATGATTGGAATAATTAAGTCTCCCGGATATCCCAATCCGCGCACAAAACCCAGGTAAACATTTTCTTTTTTGTTTTATTTTAACGAATTAAATTATCTCTATCCATCTCTTAAACCTTTCAGCAAAATATTCTATATGCAAATAAAACAACTCATCAATACATTTGATGTAAAAATTATTAAGTGTGTCTTTTTTAGTTTATTGATATATGTAATAAATCAATGAATTTTAAATCAATTTTAAGTCAAAATAAATTACGTATTACATATGTTATATTGATTAATTTCTTATTAATATCACAGTATTAAAAAATAGAAGTCAATGCTGTTTCAATGTACGTTTTTAGATTAAATGTGACATATATTACAGATACTGCGATTGGCGAATTACGTTACCAATTGGTTATCAAGTTGTAGTGAATATTTTGGATCTAGACGGTGTTACTGAACTTAGGGTACCCAGCATAGGATATGCACTTTCGGTAAATAACGTGCACCACATCAACACTAAACAAAAGAGATGTTATTTCGAGAAGAAAAAAAGCGTTGACATTTTTCTTATTTGCAGTTCTTTAATGATTTTCGTTTTAAGTCGAAGATCAAACTGTTAGGACAAAGCGGTAGCGATAGCACAGAAGAGATAAGGAGTTCCAGTAATACTATGATTATCGCTTACTGGTCTTCAATCGGACATCGAGGTTTCAAACTTCGATACTTTGCTCAGGCTCCAGCTCGTAAGTCTCGCAAAAATAATTATCAATTTAAAATTTAAATATTATAACTTTTTTTATATAGATATAATCTTTACGTCTTACAAAGATATATATTTTATGATTGTGTACGTATGGCTTACTGTTGCGTATAAAAAGTAATATTAACAAATTATTGATATTGATTATTTTAATCGACATTTTTAACCGACAGCTTGCGGTGAAAATATAAGAGAACGTGAAGGCAATATAACGATTCCCACGACTTTGCCTTTTAACGAAACCTCTTTCTTTTGCAATTGGAAATTGGAACCGCCTAAACATATGAACAATTTGGCCAATGTTACCGGTCTAACACTGACAATAAAATTCAGTGGCAACTTGGGTGCAACTTATCCGATGTTAGAAACTGGACCTAATATTCGATTTGGACATAATTATTTTAGATCTTCGATTCGAAGAAATTGCGAATATCCTCAATACCTTGAACTCCATGGTAAAACAAGATTTACTAATACTGATTTTTTAATTTTTATTACTTTGAAAATGTGACAAACAGTATGTAGAAATATGCCTGTATTTATATGAACAAGCAAAATTGTTGAATATTGCAGGCATCGGAAAGCTATGCGGAAATACTACGGAAACGCGGTTCTTGAGAAGTCCACAAATAGTCAACCATTTGTCGGTATAGATTTATTTGATTGTCTTATGTTTATATATAGATGTAACAAAAATTTTTAAAAAGAGTTTATAATATAGGTGTTCCTAGTTCAAATTATTAATTTATATTTAATGTATTCACAATAACGAAGAAATTAAAATATCTGCTAACTTTTAGATAATGAACGGTACTTACGGAAAACGTATGAATTTCAACTTGCAATATCAATGGCAACCTTGCGGTGGCATCTTACGAGGTCCGTCTCACACTATTGTGCCACCAAAATACATTACTTATCCGATAAACTGCGTTTGGAATGCGGAGTATCCTGAAGGTGAAACGATCAACGCGACTATTTTCAACCTCGAACTTAATGATTGTAACAGGAATTATCTTATTGTTAAGTGAGTTCTTTTTTTTTTTTCTACCTGTTACGTCGTGCGATCTTCAGTTATCATTACACGATCGTTTATTTACGATTAGGAATGGTGGACCGACATCGCCGCAGATCGAACAATACTGCGGTGCTTCTGCAAAAACGCATAGATACAACATCAGTAGCATCTCAAATCAGTTGTGGATAGAATATTTCGCGTCCGATAATTCGAGTCGCTTTGAAGTAAGGTTGGAAGTTGCCAGCGCAGGTTGTGGCGGATCCTTACACGGTAGCAATCGCATCATTTCGTCGCCTGAGTAATTATATATCTCGTTCTCTTGGGATAATACAGAATTCCCACAAAAGAATACAATTTTATTATTTAATTGATAACATTTTATATAAATGCAGATTCCCCAAACAATATCCGAACAACGCTGAATGTACGTGGGAGATAGTAGGTGGCAATGGGTATCATATAGGACTATCCTTCGTCGATCGGTTTAATCTTGAAACTAGTCCTAACTGTGAGAAGGATTATGTGGAGGTGTGATTTATTATTATTATTATTATTATTATTATATTAGATTTTACATTTACATTAAATATATTATATACATACTAAATATTTTTTCATATTTTATACATATTTATAGTCACATATATTTAGAGTCACATTTACACGTTTATTGTATATTTTTTTTATTTGTTTATATATTCGTCAATCGTCGCAATATTTTTGTAATAAGTGAAAAATATAAACGAAACTAGCGAACAAATGTAACACGTGTTGCAGGTGTTCGATTGGATCAGAGGAGAAGAAACTTACACCAGCGGCGAGTGGAAGAGCCTCGGTAAAGTTTGCGGTAGGAACATACCTCCGCCGTTTAACTCGACGTCGAACCACATGAAGGTGATCTTCCGTTCGAACGAAGCGATACAGTCGGACGGTTTTCGCGCTGTCTGGTCTGAGAATTGCGGCGGAATTTTCCAAGCGACCGACAAAGCCAACTTCATTCAATCGCCGTCATATCCAAACTTCTATCCACCAAGCGCTTACTGCAATTACACCATTGTAGCGCCAAACGACGATATTGTCGTCGAGTTCACGGACTTCCAGCTCGAGCGCGGTGAGTGACGATTGTTACTCTGCTATTTTATTCTTCTCTCTTTCTTTTTTTCGTTTTCTTTTTCTTTTTCTTCTTCTTGATACAGTTTTGTTTATTTTAATGCGCTCTTTTCGAAGACGAATTCGTCAATTATAAGTTTTGATATATTTTCAAATTTAATTATTTTTCGTAAAAAGGTCGCGGAGACTGTCGTTTCGACAACGTCACCATTATATCGGAACATATGCGAGCGTACATGGGAGAGACTGTGGAAGTTTATTGCAGCAATACCAAACCACCACTGATAAGATCGTTCTCGCGAATACAAGTTATCTTCATGACGGACAAATACGTGCAGCGAAGCGGTTATCAGTTCCGATATTTCATCAATAGTAAGATTTTTTTCTATTCAACGCGACAAATAATGATTTTGAGAATTATGAATTGTGAATGATTAGATCTGCGATTATAAGAGAAAGCAATATTAATACCGAAGAACAACCGGAGAGAGAATCGCTAATAAGAATTTAAAAAATTATCGTAATTAACAGAATGCGGCGGTATAATTACACAACCTGCCGAACTCAAGCCTTTGATGCACGGAGAGGAATACTTCGGACGTATGAATTGCACTTGGATCATTAAAGCGCCGCAAGGGAAGAGTGTACTCGTACGATTCGAGAAGTTCATTCTCGAATTCAGCACAAGGTAAGCTCTCGCGATGCGAATCTATGTCAAGAGTGTGCTCCTTCATTACATTATCCGATTTTATCAATTTCAATCGTTATTCGCAAATTTGCTTTGTAGTTGTTACTTCGACAACGTTGCCGTTTACGAGGGCGATACGGTTCAACCTGACAAACGCATAGCACTGGTCTGCGGTAACTTGACCGAAAATTTACCTACATTCAAATCTGAGTCCAGTTCCATGGTTATTAATTTCAATGCTGATAATTCACGACATTTCGCGGGTTTCACTGCTAAGGTACTGCGGCTTCTTTACATTATCCAAAAGGACGGATGAATTATTCGATAATTATAGAATGTTACAATGACTATGTTATATTTTTTTTAGCTTTTATTATTTTAATCAATTTCGAATAACAGATGCAGGTAAAAACAAATTGTGTAATAACATGAAATATAATGTAATTTTAGGTGTTGTTCACAACAAGTCCGGCTGATGGATGCGGAGAGTTTATCAATATGACGTCGATCCGAACTAAATCATTCAGAACTCAACAGGCTGCTACTTACAAGCCGTTCGAGGAATGCCACTGGACCGTAATAACACCGCCGGGCAAAAATATCAGATTTACGATTAACAGCATGGATATTAAAAACTCAACTGGTAACAACATCACTCGAAGTAGTAATTGTACCGGTGATTATCTCGAGGTAAGCTTGAGCTTCGAAATTAATAATCACGCTTGACAGTGCTGATAACAATATTGTACTTGCTGATGCATTCGTATAAACTTGATACACACAAATATAATATATTAGTTGAAAACAATCTTATATTATAGTCATGGAATAAAAAGAAAGAAATAAGAAAAGTCTTTATTTTGTCGTTGAAATGTTCGTCAAGCAAAAAAATATATTTCGATGTTCCGGGACTACTTTTGTGGCACGATAAACATATTTCAACTAGCAGACAGTTTGCAGCAATAATCGACATATTTTGTTGTATAACATCTATTGACAAGACGTTTACTTTTTGAAACAAAAGTCTAAGAAAGTTTCTAGTAATGAAAGGAAATATGTTTTTTCGCTTGATAAACTTTGCAATCTTCAACGACGTCATTTATTTGATTCAACATTCTGTCATTTGGTTTATGTCAACTTGTTAAAAAAAATAATGAATTTGTTTTATTGTTCTCAGGTTCGAGATGGCAGTGGACCTTACGCCGAAGTTTTAGGCCAATTTTGTGGCACCACATTGCCACGTCCTGTTGTATCCACCTCAAATTCACTGTGGATTAGATTTTATACTGACGGCACTTACGAAGGTGCCGGCGCGACAGCCAATTTGGACGTTATTGATTGTAAGAAATCTCATGTGCATACCTATCCGACATATTTCTTCTTTGATTGTGTTAGCATCAAATAACTTTTTCTAATTACATTAATTATGTTGCAGCATTGTGCGGCTTAAATATTCGAGAAATAAACAAAACAATACAGGTGCTCACTTCACCGGGTTATCCGGACACGCATACTTCTGGAGTACGGTGTCGCTGGACTCTACAACATTCCGATAAGTACAGCGATAGTTTGCGACTACGATTTATAGATTTTGATACGCCGGATACCAGCAAATGCGACACCGAATATTTAGAAATTACCGAGAACAAAGTGAGTCCTTCGCGAATAACGAAGTAAAATTTAATAATTATTACGTGTTCGCGTAATATTTATATTACCAAGTTAATTATTTTATATTATTATTACCAATTATTTTATTGTAAGCAATCGATAAAAAAAATAAACCTGTCATTTTTCTCTCAACCAGAATTTTATCAACGAAGGCTTTGGATCGAATTTTATCTATAGCGGAACAAAGTATCACCCAATTTCCGTCGAGATGGTAAGATTTCATATATATATATATATATATATATATATATATTTTTTTTTTACATAAAAATTATATTTCATAATAGTAATTTTTATATATTCCCATTATTTTTAATCATTTAGGGTAGTCATCTGCCTTTTTCCTCGTATAAATATTGCGGTAGGGAACTGCCACACGATTATTACAGGTACTTGATTGTAGCTTTTCTGCATGCTTTATTACATATGTGTACGTGTATACGTAAATATCTTTATTAAAAGCGTTAGATACACAAATCGTATATTCTCGCGCAGTTACAGCAACAGTATACAAGTGATTTTCAAATCATTGACCAACGGCTATAAAGGCTTCAAATTGGAATATAGCACAGCGAATTGCGATCGGAATTACACGAGCGAGCAAGGACGAATTCTGCATCATGAATTTACGAATTGTTGGATTTCAATCACCGCACCGGCAAACCGCACTATTTCCTTGTATTTCAATCAATTCAGAATTTACGACGCGGAGCACTGCACGCACAACGCGCTGCAAGTACGTTTTTCAAAGAAAACAAATTTATATTCGAGTAAAATACGGAGAAATTGTACGATTTATTTTCTCCGAGCTAAAATTACTGTAGCGAAACACGTTTCAACGCGCGTGAAAGAAATGCGAAGGTGAATTTTCAAAGAAGAAATTTACGTGTCGTGTAGGTGTATGACGGCGACTCCAGCGGACCGCGTGTAAGGACGTTGTGCAGCACGGCGCTACCGAACCCGATTTTCAGCACCGGCAACAAACTCACTCTACACTCTTGGACCGAGAGCGCTAGCTCTTATCAAAGTTACGACATCATTTACACGACTACGGACGCAGGTACGAGTCAAGCGCTCTCTCTCTCTCTCTCTCCCTCTCTTTTTCGTACAGCAATATACACAAATCTACCCCCGTTGCTGCATCCGATTATAAACGCGTCACCAGATGCGGAGAAATTACAACACGCGGTCAATGATTTACGACACTGCGACGACACGCCTCGAGATACGCGCTCGTGAAATGTTGCGGTGTATTTTCACACGGAAAATCTGATTTCGCAAATATCGCGCGCGCGCGCGCGCGCGTTATGACGCAAATAAATGAATACGAATACAAATAAAAAATACAAATCGAGAACGAGAGAAAGAATAAGAAAAAATAGTTGTGTATATCTCTTATTATAAAATACTTAAAACATTCTAATCTACCCAGGTCCTGGTTGCGGCGGTCGCATATTTAACTTCGGCGGTAGATTCACCTCGCCGTTGTATCCCAACATATATCGCAACAACACCGTATGTACCTGGGACGTGAGCGTGCCACGTGGGTTTAAGATCATTCTTGATTTCCTCAATTTCGACATCGGTACTTCGATACACTGCGATAATAATAATCTCAAAATCTATGACTTTGGACCGACCGGAGAAAATTTGCGCAGTACTTACTGCGGAGGGGTAAGTTTGTTCTAAATTCGTATTCTTGAAGGCTGTATTTCAAAAATTCTGTAATTATTGGAAAAGAAATGAATATCTTAAATGATGTTTGTTTCTTGTAACAAAACTTTATTAACTTTTGCACTACAGACATTTCCAAAGATTTTTAATATCTTGTTTCAACCTTTTATGTTAAAAACATACACCTAAGATATACAATCAAAACAACAAATAATCATTAAACAACTATCAAGAACATTCTCGAAGTATAGTTTGTATGTAATAATATGTAATACAAAATATAATATATTGTTGTTACATACACAGGATGATCCAGCGAGAATAGAAGCTGATAGTAATCGCGTTCTCGTTAAATATACTTCGACAGTGAACAATGTTGGAACAGGATGGGTTATTGCTTTTATGGCCCAATCGACCAGTAAGTACAAATATTTAATTTGATTTAATAACATGATATCTTTAAATTTTTGTCTTGTAAATTAAATCTTACGTGCAATAAAAATTAATTGTAAAACTATGTTTTTAGCACATCCCATTGAAATAATAGATGGTTGGTATTAAAAACATCAAGACTGCGAAGATCTGCTATGTGTGTAGATAAAATACAAATAACTACACATTCTTGAAGTTGTTTAAAACAGATTAATGTAGATAAAAAAAAAATAAATAAATTTAATCTAACAAACAAAAAATATTTATGAACATCTTTTTTTTATGTTGTTTGAGATCTTAATATCAAGAGGTGTTGAACTTATCAATCTTTTAATTCTTCATCTGATACCGCTGAGCAATTTTCTTCGCTACTCTCATCTTCTTTAGCGACCTCGTCCTCGTCCTCAATTTCTTTCAACTTCACAGGCGTTTCTTCCTCGATCAGATTAGTGATATGTTCTTGCGGTTCTTTCTGATTCTTCTCTTCGACTTCTTCCTCTTTTGATAATTCGACTTCTTCAGCTTTTGTATTCTTAGACTCTTCTTTTTCTTTCTCTTTTATCTTTCTTATCGAATTTGAATTCTTAGTTTTCTCATCGACATTATTTTGATCGTTTTCAGAATCTTTCGAACGCTTTATTCTTTTTTGCCTGATTTTCGGTGGATCATCTGCCGGATCAAAAATTTCCCACTCCTTTGTATTCATTTCTTCCTCAAGATCTGCTAATGTCATCATTTTCTTTTCTTCTTTTTTCGTATTAGTCGTTTTATTCGAATCTTTCGTTATGGAACGAGTTAATCTCGGCTCCTTTCTAATTTCTTGTTTCTCGTTTTCTATTTTTTCAATATTTTCCGATTTCTTCTTGAAATTCTTATCGTTTGTTTTCTTATCGATAATATCTCGGCCGTTTACAGAATTTTTCGATGATGAACTCTTTTCCTTCGTTTTTCTTTCTCGTTTCTCAATGTTTTCTACTCCCTTAATGTTTTTCAACTTCTTCTTGTTTTCTTCTTTTTGGTTCTTTTTTGGTTTTTGGCGAATCTCAGTGTCTCGGAAGGCGTCATATTCTCGTTTGATACTTCTATTTTTGTCTTTAATTATTACTTCACCGTCCTCTTTTTGTTTATTTTGTTTATTCTTTGACTTCTCTTTCGATTTATACAAATTTTTTAATTTCGAATACTTTTCGGCCGGTCTCTCGTTGTCGTGGTTCGTTGTGCTTTTTCTTTTTCTGTTTTTGAGTTTTTTTTCCAGTGTATTTTCATCTCTAACAAATGTTCCAATTAATTAACAACTTATAAGCTTATGAAGATAATAAGTTGGAAAAAATAGAAAATTATATATATTAATTTTGATAGAAATATTAAAAATTCATTAAAATTGTTAAACATATAAATATTTGTCAAATATGGAAATAAATACAATCTCCCAAAGTGCGAGTTAAGTTGTATATGAGTTTTATTTTGTATCTTGTGTTTACTTTCTTATTCCAATATCTACTCACCTTGAATGATGTTCCACATCGGTTTTCTTTTCCGTCATGTTATCGCTGTCCGCGGATTTCACATCGTTCGATTTTTCTGCGAAAGTCTCCGACACAAGTATCGTGATTAATAAAAGCGCAGTCAACAGTAACCACAATCTACAAAGATCGAATTTTTTCTTATTTCAGTATTTTTCCTATATCGCAAGTATATATATTGGATAAAGACAAACGTAATTTTATATACAGCAGTATATACTTGATCTAAAATTTCTGCCTCTTATTCGCAAATTTACTTTAAGAATTTAATACTTATATGATTTAACTGAAGGCAGATTATAATGTAGAAAAACTTTCCGAATCAGAAAGTTTTTTTGATTAAATAGGACTCAATTGTCAACAAGCGTGATCACGACGTGTAATGTACATTACCTCATTGTGTTATATTTCTTCGAGTTCACAATTTAGATTACACCTCAAGTTTTTGTAGAGTCTAGCGCGACACTATCTCTTTTCAGGTAGCAATTGCTCTTTATATCTTTTTACGTTGTTGATATCCCGATAACACTGACGCGCCACGGATTTTTGTAGCCGATATAACGCAGATCTCAAGTCGAATCTAAGAGAGTAACGAATTGAAACACGCTGCCACGCGGCGTACGCAATGTACGAGAGTTTACGTGTCGCTACAATCCCGCGACTGAACTCGTATTAACTATTGACATGACCTCAAAGTATGATCACACGAGTGCGCAAGATACTACAACAACGTACATACATGACTCAATTTTTAAATTCTTGAATTAAAACGAATAATTTCGAATTAAAAATTATATCTAATCTAATATTGATAACGATTGGTTGATTATTAAGATGTTTTCTGATATCTCTAGCTACTCGAATAATAAAATACGTATATTGTTTACTTTTAAAGATATTTTTACGAGAAGTGTTTGTCTTACCGATATACAGCAAGTACGAATTATAAATATATAGATTGTCGAGTTTATTTCTAAATAATATTTCACAAAAACTTACACGAAGAAAATGCAATTGACGTCAAAGATTTATGTATGCAAGATTTACTCTTATCGTATATGTCGGGTCATTGTTCCATTTCTCGCGCTTTTATTGTTAGAATTTACATCAGCATGTAAATGTGTGATTGTATCAAATTTTCGGTATTTTACAAGGAATTTTATGCAATATAAGAACAAACTTTGCAACATATATGAAGAAAACTATATTTGGTCTCATATATGTACATATATACGTTTTTTCAATTAAATCGTATATTACATACTGCAATGTATAATAAAAAACTGTGTTTACAACAATTAGATATACATAGCAAAATAAAAGAATGAATTTTAACATTTGCAAAAAACACGCAATAAAATTTATTAATTTTAATTATCTTCTATATAAGATATATATTTTATAAAGTATGTGTGTTTTATCATAAACATCACTAAAATTAACAATATTTTTTTGCATACGCGCGTATATAATAAAGAAAGAGTAGCGCGGTCATGTATAAGTTTTACGTTTAATAAGTACGTTTTATATATGAAAGTATACATACATAATATATAACAATAATTATCAATTATCAATTATACGTATATATATATGTATAAAATCAAGCTTGATTTCATTCAAGTTTTTTTATTTTATCAAAGGTATTTGCTGCTTTATTTTAAAAATAATAAAAATAAAAGATATATTTACTATATGTAGAGAGACTTATATGTTTTATATATACATACATATGTATATATATATATATATATATGTATGAAAACCTATAAATTTAATTAAAGTACATATTTCAACACACTATTTTTTGCGCTAGACACATATAGACGATCTTCCTTTATAAAAATACAATGCTTCGTATCTATGTAAGAGCTTTATATTTTTATAAATTATAAACACACTATTATATCTAATGGCAAGATATATAATGCTGATATATATGTACATGTATGTACATATATATTTTTTGTGTCCTCGAGCATAAAAATTAAGTAACTGATATCTTTACGAGAGAGATCCGTATCTTATATAGATTACTGTACAACAAGTTTTCGTAATAAAGAATGTAATAAGTAAATAATTGTACGTATATAAATACGTAAATACGTACATAAATAAGTAAATAATTGTACGTACATAAATAAGTAAACTCGAGATATATCTGGTATCAATAAGTACTACATTATTATTATTATCTATTAGAATGCAAAAGTTCTTTTTAACACGTTGAGACCAATTTATCGTATCCGAGTGAATAAAATTTCAACATTAGTAAATTGAAAAGTTGATTGTTCTTGAAATAAAATGACGACGTATATAAAAACAAAATTACATGTGAGCTATTTTATCGTATCTTAGCGTCATTCGCTTGATAATATCGTTAGCGTTGTCAGTAAGAAATCGCATCTTCAATTATTTGATTAAAACATAAATTGTGTAATTAATGATCGCAAATCGTCGTAACTTTTGCACTCTTACTTATCATTAAATGATTTGTGCATTTACTGTGCATATTTGTATCGAAACCGAAACATCATGTTACCTGAGATTGCTATTCATCACAAAAATATCATCTCTTTGCTATAATATATAATACTTTGACATTATATATAATCATTTCTTTTGTCATCAGCTCTATCAGATCTATTTACAAAGTATTGAAAAATAGCTATTTTCCATTTGTGTATATCGATGTGTATTCGCGTTTTTTGTTTGAAAACTCCACTAGGGAGGAGAAAATATAAGAAATGACAATATATTGAGGAAGATAAGAAATCAATTTGATATTTTCGTAAATCGCAAAATTGATTTTCATTATGTTTGTTCCGACAATTTGATTTGTCCTGGAACGATCTTGCTTTTCTTGCGAGGCGAATCGTTCAACGGCTGTGAATCTTCCAGAACAGACTGAGGATACTTTTTATCCGGATAATTCCACGCTTGTATGGTCGCTGTACCAAATATCTGATAGGCAATATACGTGCTGCAGGACACGCATGCAGTAACTGCGAACACTTTTCTCCAGGCGTCAAGAGATTGCTGTTAGAAAAACATTTTGTGTTACTTTTATTCTTATAGAATGACAAATTAAATAATATATGTAGGTTAGGCTTACGCTTTCTTGTGTAAGCAGACCAGCTACTATAGGAGACAAGAAACTAGCGGTCATGTGAATTGTCTGTGCGAATGCCAGAACCGGTCCTGAAAAAAAAAAGAATTAAATATGAATTGACATTCTGCCGAAAAGTAAATGTCGCGCGAAGATGTGTGTACACTTACCAGCGAAATTAGGTGCAATGTCAACAATATTGGCCATTGCGCCCGCGTAACCAGCCGTTATGAGAGTAACAGCTATAAACCATATAATCAAAACGAAGATAATATCGCAGCCCAAGTATCCAATTAAAATTACGAGTACTCCAGGAACCACTTGAGCTACAAACAAAAGATTAAGACAATTTCATGTAATTTAATGTTCGAAGTAAATAGTGGCTGAATTAATAAAAAATTCGACGAGCATACTTACAGAGCGCGGTGAATATTTTGCGCACAGTTAATAAAGTCATGATTTGCTTCGTAACCAGAACATCCGCGACGTAGCAAAATACTACGGAGCTTAAGTAGCTACAGATAAATGGCGCGCCCGATAAAATGCCGTTCTAAAAAAAAAAAAAAAAAAACGCAAAAGAATCAGTTTGATGAAAACACATTATTAAACGTAGGACATCTTTATTATAATCAACACGCGTACTGCCTGTATACTGAATCCTAACACCGTCTTCATGTACATCGGGCCGGGAATGATAAAGACATAATGCACCCAAATTCTTCCAAAAGTCGTGATGCCGATAGACCACGCTGGCCAGGAAGTGAGTATTGACTTCCAAGGTACAGGAAGATCCTTCAAATACGATTATTTTTCTTAGCGTGCTCGTTAAAACGAGACACTAATAAGTAATTAATATTTATATCACCTCGTGTGCTCCGATAACTTGATTTCGTACGCCTTCCTGAATGTAACGGAGTTCCGGTTTCGATATTCTGGGATGGGAGGCGGGGGTGTCGAAGGCGCAGAAATACCAGAAGACGCACCAGATGAGACCGACGCTGCCAGTTGTATAGAACACGGCCCGCCATCCGAAATGGGCGATGATGAACGCGCACAGCGGGTAAGTCAGTCCGATGCCGATGCTGAACCCTGAATATAGATAATAACCTAGATGTTAGGAAGTAGCTCACCCTACGGCCCGGAAGGAAGCTGAAACATGATGCTTGCGGGTCTTCGTCTTGGTTTGTTACGACTCATGCGTCATGTGTGGTGATGATCGCTCCTCAGTCGCCGCATACGTATCTCAATCCTGTAAAGCGATTCAAGTAGAGACTTAGTACGCGGGGACGAGGCACAGGGAGATGACAAAGCTGTTTTAATGGTGGGACAATGAAACTTCTGCAAAAAAATAACAAGTAAACCATAAAAACCTCGTTCTTCCTGCAAAATGAGCGTCACTCTTCTCACACGGGGATCTCTGATAGATTGTGCAGAAAAATTAAAGCAAAATGTGCTCGGTGAGTAAATAAAAGCAGAGATTATTCCCACAGAATTCAATGTACTTATAATATGTTTTGAAAATCAATGCGTTGCGCTCAAGCAATATGACTAGTGTTTTTTTAACAAGTGCACTAATATATAAGCATTATTTGATAATATTACGTATTATGTAAGCAAGGAGATAATAGCTGGTTTCTTAAAATTACCATTAGTTAATTAAACAAAGACAGATAATCACGCCGTATGAATTCGTATCGTAAATGAAATACAATTCGTTTCTAGGAAAGTTTGAGTGAGAAGGACGATTAGATTAATTCGTATTGCAGGCACAAGTGAACATAGTCAATAGACATAATTGATATATGTATGAAAGATAGAAAGAGAAACAAAGATATATATATACAATATATATATGTATATACAATATATATGTTCGACGAATCATCCGGCTGATTCTACCAGCTGGAAGTATACTCGGCCTTTCTCATGCTGTTGAGCGGTCGCTGTTGAGTATACCCCTCGGTCCGGCGAATACAACCTCGGTAGTGATGAACTATTCAGGATCAACGAACACGCGCGTGATGTGAAATCGCGCAGATCTTTTACAGAAAAAAAACTATTTTAGCAACAAATTATTTTCTTGATCCGGAATTTTGACTGAAACAATGTAAAGTAGGTGTAAAATTGCTTCTCATTCGAACTTCTGTATTTCCACTCTGAAAGAAGCGTGCATTAGTATTCACGAGAAAAAAACAAACAAAATCAAAAGGAGCATGCGAGTTTTTATTTAATTATTTCACGACGTTGCAACGCAATTGGCATCGAAACGCATATATAGCTTTCGAACGTATCGAAGTTTCACTGTAACACACAAAACCATCTGTTAGCAGCTGGTAACGTACCTTGGAAGGAAGACATAAAGCGTGAACGTTCCACGGGTGGAATCCAGTGCCCGATCACGGCATACATCGCGGGCCACGTGAGTCCCTATGTCCAAAAAAAAAAAGAAGAAAAAAATAAGTGACCAAAGAGTGCGGTATTTCTTACTTCGAACTATACAAAGAATTCAGGTAACATGTTTCAAAAGAAAAACATTAGCTGTCTTTGCAACGTCTTTAAAACTTCTTTTGCATTTCTTATGTTTTTCAAATATTCACTTTGTGTTTGTATGTGTATAATAGTGTCACGAACTTTTGCATTGATTACGTAAGAACTTACACTTGCGATGCCTTGTATACTACGCAACGTTATCATGGCCCCGTAATGTATTTCTGCGGCAGTCGGCATAAGCAGACTGCAGACGGCAGTGACAGCTTGAGATCCGCCGAATATGGCCTTTGTACCGAAATATTGCGTGAGAACACCTCCGAGCATTTGCGAGAGTATGTAACACCAGTAAAAGGAACTGAGAATAGCCGATTGAATAGCTGGGCTCCACTCGAACTCGCCAGCGTCCTGTTCGGAGGAACAAAAATATTTTTAGTATAGCCTTGTGAAAAAACACTATATATTTATAAATTGCGACGCGTTAAACAGATTAATTTTTTAATCTAAAGTGAAAACTGAGATCTTTTTTTGTTTAAAACACTAGTTTTTAATATAAATTTTATCAGATATCAGTTTTATCTTTCTCAAAATTTACGTCGCTTGTCAATTTTTTATAAATAAATATAATTTTTATGTAATTCTTTCGCAATGTCACGTTCTTATTGTAATAATACGATGTAATATAATATCATGTTGCATAAACAACAAAACGAATTTTATCGATAATCAGGAATCTTCTTTGCAATTCAATGTCTGATTAAAAAATTAAAAAATATAAAAATTATAGATTATTGACTCATAATGTGCTCGTAATATATTGTAATATAATTTATTTAAAAACAAAAATAAATTATCTATATATTAATAATTATTTCATAATATGTATCTTTTAAAATACGTATATCTTTATATATTTTTGATATTGTAAATTTTTCAATGTTTATATGTACTTTTTTTCCTTTATTCTAGGAATACTTTTACGTCATTCTTGAAATATATTTACATATTTATAACATAATGATGATGTCTGTAACATGTTAATCGTATGTAAACTGTTGATGACTATGCTGAGTCATCACTTACTACGCAAGAAAGTGCCTCAACCTAACAGTAACTGAAAAGAAATATATGCAATACATGCACATTTTTTACAAAATTACCTTATATCTTAATTCAACTTAATAAACAAACTTGGCAAAAAAATATCTTATGCGAAAAAAATAACTGTTTTGAAGATTATAAAGTAGTTTTCGAGAATGAATGGCAAGTGAATTTTCTTCCCAATATTCGTGACAAACTTACCTCCGGTCTAATTATGGTTGTATTTTCTATATGTGACGCGTTCGGCATTGTGTAACAATGAGATGTTGTCACAACAGTTTCATTATTCGACGGCAGTTTTGCCATGGCCACCATGGCGATATTAATGTCTGTTCTCATCATGAAAGACACGAGAAATCCGGAAAATGAGAGCAGGTACAGCACGACACGTGCCGGGACCATGTCTGTAATCAAAAAACTTAATTACGTCAAGAACAACGGGATACCGATGACATCAAACAGTTTTGTAAAATAAGAAACAGCACATTTCTGACAGTTGTTTCTTTTAGTCTTAAGTTTTTTTGCACTTGCTACTTATAAATGGCTGAGCTTTTTATATATTTCAAAGTTATATTTTATAATATAAAAGATTACCTCCTAATTTTCGTAAGCTGCAAGATGACTTTTCTTTATACATGTCAGATTCCTCATATCTGTAAAAAAAAGAAGTATTATGGAATAATATTGCGTAGTAACGCATAAGATGTGAAAAAAAAATGCGACAACACAACTAATATTCTTGACGTTAATTTGCGTGTTTAGACTAATACATCTCCGAGCTACACAAAAGTCGATAATAAAAAATGCAGAAAATAAGTAAAAAGCAAAATGTTTACATAACTCAGAAGTATTTCAATATTAATACTGATACATTAATCATTAATGTAAAAAAAGCAAAGTGAAATCAAAAGTAAAAACAATATACATTCAAATCTGATCTGTCACCTTTGAGATTCTTCCATTTTTCTTGCGGAAGTATCGATATTTGAACAGAATAGAAAAAAATCTCTTGCGAAGAAAAAGAACAAAAATCACCTTGGACTCTGCAAAAACAGAAAAAGATAATTTAATAAATATTACTTTAAAAATTAAGTTGTATAAGCCTTGCGATTGTTTGATTTGCAATGACTTTTTGTGCTGCTTGTAGTTTTTGCTACACACACACACACACATATACAATATAGTAGGATGGCGTTAATACATACATATAAAACCATCGCAATATGTTCGAAGTATTGCATCGAGGGCATGTGACCTTACGAGAATGGGATTCCAACATGGAACTCATCTTGAAATTCTTAAAGATCCTTTTTTTGTATGAAAAAATTTTATTTAATAAGGATTGTATATAAACGCGTATTAATTTTATTATTTTATCGCAATATCAATACATTTATTTATTCCATATATTTTATATAAAATTCAAATAATTTATGAAAACCATAATGGTAGTGTTTAGATTCTTATAATCGAAAATTAACAACCCAATGTGTGAATGTGTGTGCGATAAAGAAAATTTCATGTATGAGAGGTTTTGTCTGCGTCAATGCATCAAACGAAAAAAATATGAAATCGAATATTCAATAAATGCGGAATTAATATCAAGAGTTAAAAATTACAAAATAATTTAATAAAAAATTAAAGTTGTGAAATTTTATTTTGAGTTACACGCAGAGAAAGGAGAAAACAAGGTTTTGTTTCAAAAAATATGATTGTTAGTGAAAAATAATCGTGCAAAAAGTAGTGTAAAATAATTTTTACACACAAGTACGTAGATAAGTTTTTCGTACTACACATGTATAAACACGTATAAATTTATCAAGCCTTCGTCAGATCAAATCAAACGCTACGATCGCGTGTGTTTTAATGCAGGAAAACCACAAGATATTCAACACATTCAGCAAGTCCGTAATCTCTTACCTGATATACATCTAATATGTCTCAAAGTATTGAGTAACTCGTACGTTAACCACGTGATAATGAATATACAGAATATAGAAACAACTATGCATATGAGCAACGACACATAATGCAATAAGTCTTTTCAATGCAATTGAGTTTGTATCGTGAATTCACACAAAATATTAGCGAACTTAGGTTTGATTTGCAACATATTGTACATTTATTGATGTTATTCCACAGTTTTTTATGAAATTTAAATATCAGTGCAATATATTTTATTCACATATTTTTGGCGTAACAAAATGTTAGATCGTTCATATCAAGAGAGGCAATTCGCAATTATTATTATATTTTCTCCTAACATACTTTTTTCCTGTTTTCTATAAAAAGAAGATTGAAAACGTTTGATAAAATGCTCAAAACTATTTTAAAACAAACAAATAAATTTATCATTATTTATACTTGGCATAATGCGCGCTATTATTTTCGTTGTGTGAATGTCACATTCAAAGGTTAAGAAAAAAGAAATTGATGTACAGAAAGTGTCATTTAACTCGCGCAAAATTCGTTAAATGTGATTTTCTGAGAAGTGAAAAAATTATTGCAAATTATTCGACAGCGCTTAGTGATAGTAACATAATATAATTATGTAATACGAATAGATATAATTGTTAATATATACAGGAAAATACAACATGTCAACATATATGTTAAGTGTCACTTACGTAAAAAAAATACACCGTGTCACAACCTTCATGAAGTTTTACAGACGCGATGCACGATGCGTGAAGAATGGATTAAATCAAGTTACTAACAACATTGCAGTCTGCAGACAGAACGAAGTGCCGGCACTGAAAGGCGAACCAGACCACGAGGCGTTGACTGTCTTCGCGACCCCACCATCACCACGATTTTCGATCGTTCTTTTCGTACAGTGCGGAACGAGGATGCGGAATATTGTATATGTTACGAGTAAATTTGCAATATAATTGAGCGTTTTTAGCGATCGAGTACTAACAATTATAAATAATCGAAGCTAACGATTAAATATTGTTAACTCATACTCACACTTATTAATTCATTTTGCTCTTATTGCGTATACAGAAAAATCAAATAACGATTATACGCAAATGGAGTGATTGATATATAAACTATTCGCATAGATAGCGACAATTGTATCACATCGCTGTTATGTTTTTCGTTGACAAGTTTTATTTTTTAAAAGAATAAAAAATGTCAAACGCTGACTCATTGTCGCATGTAGTTTGTGTGACAGTTTGTCGAAGTAGATTTTTGATAATGCACCAGTCCACACTTCAACTATTGCAACGATCAGAATCGGTTTTGTTTTAAGATTATTTCACCATATACAACAGAGGTTGCGTTTGTGTTCGTCAAGTATAGGTAAATATTTTGTAAATTTTGACTTCTCTAACTTGGACTAAACAACATGCTTGACTTTGCCGAGTACAACCTGACTTTGGTTTCGTTTTAAGAACTGACAACTGTTTTTAACAACCGTTATTTTGATAATGAGCGCATCTCGTTTGCACTTTGTTGAAATAATAATAATAATAAAACATTTTAACATACAACTAATCGTAATTAGACTTTTACATTGACCTTCTCTTTACTTCTTTTTCAAAATTTGGAGCTCAACTCATTCTGATGTTATAAATTTGTTTCACGTGTTTATTCGTCACAATGTACAATACGTAGAAGCTAATCGGTAAGGAAGTCGCTAAATACTTGATGATGAAACTTGTAAGATATTAACTTTTTATCGGAAAAACGATAATAGGTGCTTATCTAAGACATGTGACGTTGCAATGGTCATATTATATAATAGAGTTAATTAGACATGAGAACACTCAGTTACATGTTATCAGTAATTCAGTTAATTGCATGTTATCGAACAATATAAGAAACTTTCCGAACGTTTTTTCGAGACACTAAGGAGCTTCACAACTACCACTTTGATCGGCGAAAATGATAAGTATGCACTCACAAAAACTTTTTTTGTTAGTCATACTCATATTATTGATTATTTCTTCTCTCGTATGATTCATAAGAATTAATGTTATTTTTCTTACACGTGAGTATTACGTACATCACACAGATATCGATACAAAGAAATCATGTATATCTGTCATAAATTGTTTCAGATTTGCAAGTATATGCAGCGTTGAGACATATTATCCAATCGATCGATAATTTGTGTCGTATTATAACAAGACGAAATGACAGTTCTTAATGCACGTCTTTTATTTAATTTCGCGAGAGGTTCGAAGGTCTTCCATACCTCATATATACTTTCTCCAATATATAATTTATAGAAAAGAAAAAAATATATTATACATATATTAGTATACATACACTTTTATGTAATAAATCAACTCAATTAAGAGCTTAAACTCGAATAAACAATGCTTTGAAGTTGTCATTAACCACATTTCGCCATTTCGCAGTAGTGGACCTTAATTATCTCATAGTTGACCTTATCAAGTTTACAATCAGCAAGTCACGCAATTCGACCAATGAATTTGTACTCGACATGAAAGCGTGCAACCATGTATGTAGTGCTGCGCACTAGATTACTGAATGTGCAATTTTATTTTCAAAAGGGTGCACAAAAATTGTGAACAGTTTTGCTGAAATAACAAGATCAGATTACTATGTGGCCAGCAAGAAAAAGTTGCTAAGCCTATTGAATTGTTTGCCACTATTTTATTGGTAAAATTATAAAATTCATAGATTATTTTTTTTGTTGGCCATATAATAACAAAACTTTCTTTTCCGTGTATACACTGAGAGCAAAAAATAGTTGTAATTACCACAATTTTATTATAATTTATAGTGATTTAAGGTGCCAACTATTTTTTTATAGTTATTTTAACAATGCGACTTATAGTTGATTCAATAATATATTATTGTTGCCATAGCTTTAACATGCATTCATACAACCATATGCATGGTTTCATACACTATAACTTGTGATTTATGTATAGTAAGTTGTACTGTAAATGTGATAATAAGGACCATAATTGAAAGATAAAAACACTATATGCCATAATAAGAAGTCGTACTTATATAATAGCAAGATTAAACTTTTTATATATTATTTGATCTATAATGCATATGGTTCCAATAGTTTTAGTGATAAAACTGATAGTTTTAGTTGTAATGATTTTTATTGTTTTTAGAAAAATAGTAAATTGCTATTTATAAATGTGGTTACTAAAATATACTATTGCTATGATTCTATGCATTGTATGTAAATGATTACTTTTCTGGCCACTTTTTTTATAGTTTCTACGATATTTTTAGTACATTCGTAGTTAAAAATATAGTTAACCAGACTATTAATGTAGTCATAAAAATGTATGTCTTAAGTTACTTTCCTTACTTATTTTTTAGTTATTATTAGCAGTATAAATAGTAAAGCTGATGTCAACAGTATAGTCATATTTACTATAATTGTGATTGTAATTATTACTTAAAAATGTGTATTTTATTTACCATCTGTTATTTGACATTTGACTATGTTACTATTTAAAATTATTATAATTTATAGCAAAATTTTTACATACTTGTCAAAACCATATATATAAGGTTAGTTTTACTAATATTATAGCAATATTAACGATAAAAATAAGAATTCCAGCTATAATTATTTTACTATGCAATTATAGTCGTAAATACCAAGCATTTTTCTCTCAGTGATATTTTCTCGTGTGATATTACTACTCTAAGAAGCTGCGCTTATCAATCTCGATAATATCTCGATATCCACATAAAACGACGTCTATTAGACGTACATAATTGTTACATCTAATAATGAACATCTAATGGAGGTTTGTATAGAATGTTGTCCCCCGTGTGGATATATTGAATTACCACACGAATTACAATACAATTGGTGATAAAGAACGATGATGGATGACGTCACAGAATCCTCGAGAATGTACGAACAAAAAATGTATTGTTCGTTTAACGACAATATGTTGCATAATACAAAGGAAAGACGACAAAGTGTGCAGTTTGTGGTTTAAAATTATTGCAATTGTCGTGCAACAGGTCACGACAATTGACCTGACAAATTCTGATGTTTTATTTTTACGTAGAAAAAAACATTATTGCTTTATTGTCCTGATACATTGTTGAGAATGAAAAGCAGCTTTTGTGATCTTAGTTGCATTAGAAAAAAATGAAATTAGATTATATAAAATAGATTATTATAAACAAAAGTGTGTGAACTGTTGGGAAAAAAACTGCGCTACACATTGCTCCCATTCCCATGCAAAGACATGCTTTAGAAGTGGCATCGTATTTTTTTTTTTTTGTTAGTATTATTAACGTGAACTATAGATCTTCAGTATTGATTGTGAAATATCAGAAGGCACAGCCTTAGTTAAATTCTCAAGGACAATTGTTATTATCATCACTGAAGACATCACGACGAGGTGCAGCAGAACTCACCTGAGAACAACCGAATTTGATATTCGGTGCAAATAAAGAACGAACAACGAACTTTGCGAATGTTACGGCCAAGTGAAGAAAACTCGATTGTTCTCGGAGGATACTGCACATCGTCGTGAATCACCACTGCATGTTTTTGAGGTTAAATGTACCAGTATATCTCTCTTTCTCTCTCTTTCTTTCTCTCTATCTCTCTCTTTCTTCTGAGAAAAGCACCACGTGGTCCGTCGGCTGTTTTTTTTTTTTTTTCGAGAGCAACGGACATTTGTGATAATCGCGCGAATCGAGGACAGCCGATCGGGACTCACCTTAGTGGCGTTTCTGCATTCTGCGAATATCTCGCGAAGCGTGAACGTTCTCTTGCGCGGCATTTTCATCTACGCGGCGGCACGCGCGACGATCACACGGGCGCCGCGATATATCGACGCGCGTTCACCCGAATCGAATGAAAGGCGTTTTGCTTCGCCGCGACAAGAGCAGAGAGAATGGACGTGACAGGTTCGCGGACGTATACGACGGTGACAAACGATGCACAATCACGTTGCACCAAATGGTCGACGCAATGTAATCGCTCGTTACGTCAATGCTTCTGATGACGAGTAAGCCTGTCGGCGCCGGGACAATCACGTGACCCTCCAGCACGAACGATTCACTACAATCGATTAAAAGCCACTGCGCCGACGCGCAATGGTTGATAGTACACATGCGTACGATTGAGAGGGGGGGGAGGGAGGTTGATTCAACATAAATTGTCGAAGCTTTCTCACAAACTTCACGTCCTCTCTCTCGCTCGTTTTATGAATTAAGTAAAAGTTTTTTTACACAAGAGAGAACTAGAGATTTTAATACTCGCTTTTTAATATGCGAGCTGTTATTTAGCAAACAAAAGTAATTGTTTTGAAGATTTGTAAATAGAGACAAATAAGAACAAGTCGAATAAAATATACAATGACACATGACTCGAGTGCGATGTGTGTCGTATACATTTGCAATTTCTGGGTCAAAGTCAATCGAATGTATGTATAGCAAGGTCTGTCCTTACACTATACAATAATTCAAGATGGAGTTAGAATATCGTTCTTTTCGCAACTGAAACGAGGAGACTATTAAACTCAGCACTTATAATAAATCGCAACACAAAGCGTAAGACGTTTTAAAATTATTACGATCGGCGTTATTGCAGGTCGTTTATTATAGAATATACATGAAAATATATATTTATATGAAAACAATTAAAGGAAATATATAAAACACAGCGACAAATAAGAAATGAACTTATTATGCAACTCTTTATGCAACTTGCAATTTTGAAAAAACTATTGCATGCCGCACCTCTTGTCAAAACTGCTATGATCGGCTTTTCTTACGTCGCGTATTGTAAATACAACTTCGGACGAATAATCACTTTTTGGCGACGTAAGAAAATTCACATAAATGTTGTCAAATCTACTGTGATTAATGTCATCATTTATAACATGAACCAGAGAAATCCCCCGGTTCAGTCAAAGAACAAATTACGGAAGAACTTCTCGATACTGTCACTTGATAGAAACTACAAGTAGGTTATGCTATGTTTTTTAACGATGAAAAACACACTTTGTTCTAAAACTATTCGATATATTCGCTTGTTGTGAAAAAAAAAAAAAAAAAAAACAATAACGTAATATTCCGTCAGATCAGGAATATCATGTGTATCAGACGCTACAAAAAGAGACGCCGCAAGTTTCAATACAGCTTCGTCGGAAGAAGAAGACAGTAAATCTGTGATCGATTATTGCAAATCATCCATTCGTACTAAAACGGTAGCTGGACGGTACATTTTATGCGTATAAAAAGGATATGCCGAATTATTATTTTATATACATATTCGCTCTCAGGCTTCTAACGCGAGTCTTTCCACGAGAAAGTTGTGGAATAATGCTTCGAGGACGCTCAGAAACTCTGTCCCCAAAAACGATGTGATCGAAGAAGGTAGCATTATTCGAAACTTATGTATGTGTATCATACATTTCCACTTGTGTTGGAATCAAAGTCTCGTTGAATTTCAGAAAGCGAGCTGATTGATACGATAACGAAACAGCTGCACCTGGCTGAGTCACAGCTGCGGACAATGCAAGGCGTTTTATCAAAAGCCGAAGAGAGTCTGCGAACTAAAGATACGGAAATCGGACGCTTAAAGCGGAAGGTTCTCTGTACGCTTTTTCTAATAAATAGAATTATCATATTTGTGTCGCACACATTTAGTAAAGTTACTTTTTTTTTTAAAATAAATATAGACTGTCACGTTTATTACGTGTTCTTTTATCTTTATTTATGATTAACAAAAAATCTTTACATTCTTAAGTATAATTTATTTTATTTTGAATTAATACACAACGTAATTGAAACACGCGCACAGGTCAAGGAATGGGAAAATAAATATAAAAGTCAGGAGCTTTTGCGAAAGAAAGAGCTACGCACTCAGGCTACCAATTCCGATTATTTCTATCAACGATGTCTAACATTGGAACGCAAGATTATCGAAATGGAGGTTTAAATCTATGTGTTATTCTTTCTTTATCAATACATCTTTTTTTGATTATAAAAATTACCAATTGCGATATTTCAATATTACAGAGATTCTTGACTGATTACGGACTGATATGGGTAGGTGATGTAAAAAACCCGACGACAACGACGACGACGACGACGACGACGATGACGACGACAGCGAACGACATTGACGGTAGCAAGTAAGCAGTATTATATCGATTATCAGAAACAGAAAGTACTAGTGCTGGTAATTAGAAAATTAATTGTAAGCGACTTAACTATCAGTAACTACATTACAGTGATTATATCAACGCTTATTACGATCAGCTTGTAGCGAATATCGATCAGTTGAACATTGCCGCGGGAAAGGGCGAAGTTCATATACATCATAATGAGAAAGGACGAGCCACTTTTAAAGTAACACACTTTACAACGCATTTGTACACGCTTCTACATTTAATACAACAAAATGCAAAATATTTCGAAGTAAACCACGAAATTGCATATGTATTTATAATCAATAATTGTCGGAAAATTTCTTTGTGCTTTCAAATGAAGACCCCGTCCTGCATGTCATTGAAATTTTATAAAAACGGTATGACCGTCAAAGGAGGACCGTTGCGGTCTTACGATGATCCGACTGTTAATTCGTTTATCCGCGACATTTTGGATGGATACTTCCCTTCTGAGTTGCAACGAGAATATCCCGAAGGGGTGCCTTTCATGGTAAATTGAATTAGTAAAGTGTGTGGCACACATATATATATATATACAGGGTGTCCCAGAATAGGTGTAACATCTCTCGTAGATAGGTAGAAGAAGTAAAACTAAGTCGATAAGTCCTATACCATTTTGCTAGATTCGCAATAGTTACCGAAATCTTAATTAATCTCTTGACTGCGGGACGCTCAAAAACAAAAACGTGCCAATCGAGCGGTGCTCTACGCATCGAGAGACCATCTCTGATCGAGCGCCTAAAAGCGCTCTACGCACCGAGAGAACATCTCTTACCGAGCGCCTATAGGCGCCCTACGCAGACGTCACGCACACAGACGGCGGTTCTGGCTTGTGTGCGTGGCCCCACCGCTCGATGCTCTCGTTGCTCTCTGCTCGATCTTGCAACTCTGGTCAAAAGGTTAACAAAGATCCGCGAATAAGCGTGCATCGGTCTGTCTTACGCGCGTAAGACAGCCCGATGCACGCTTCTTTCGCGGATCTTTGTTAATTAAACTTTCGGTAACTATTGCGAATCTAGCAAAATGGTATAGGACTTATCGACTTAGTTTTACTTCTTCTACCTGTCTACGAGAGATGTTACACCAATTCTGGGACACACTGTATATATAAATGCAATTTGTAATTTTGTATAGATTTGTATTTTTGTGAGAAATAATTTAATTGTGCAAATAATTTTCGTACACGCGATCGCGAAGTTTTTTTTATTTATCTTTCATAGATAGAGGATCACAGAACAGAAGTATATGCAGGCAACTTTGGTAGCTTTCCTGGTCACGGATATCGATTGGGCAAACAATCTCCAGATAATCTGTTATCCACAAATTCGCGCTGGTCGAATATTTCTCAAAAATCTGGAAGTTTCAGTCATTTATCCAGAGATAGTGCTTGCAATTCCGAAAACATTCCGCTTTTATCTCTTCCAACAAGCCGGTATCAGATTTTATATCATTCAGTCAGATTAAATAAATTCTTGTTGCAACACATTCGATGTAAATTTCCGAGTACAGCAAAATAAGCAATTTTGTCTATTTTTAACTGCTTATAAAATTAAACATTTTTCAAACGTTGTAACGGCAAATTTATACGCTTTTAACATTTTACGCTCCTCATTAGTTTACTGAAGTCCAAAGCCTCGGAAACATCATCTCTCGATTTATTCTCTCTTCGATCGCAGATTTTAGCCTCGCACAATAACGCGTGCTCTCATTCGCATCTCCAGTCTCACATCAATGCTGAATTGGTACGCAGCAGTCGTGAAAAGAAGGTAAATCTCGATCACTGGCTCGCAAAGAAGCGATTTTTATTCTCTCGAAACTTTTTTTTTGTGAACTTTGAAATTAAACATATCATTCTTTTTTTTATTTTGAGAAAGAAAGAAGTGGCTACGAAAAATATAGAATATATGTTGACACGTGAATCGCTCAAATGCAGAGATACCACAAGATCGTTAAACAGACCAGCAAGCAGCAACAGGATGAGATATCATTGTTCCTCTGACAGATCTTCTAGGTTTTTCCCTAAACAAATACAGTATTTAACGCTAACATTTGTTGTTGTTTTCTCTATATTATTATATAAATTTATATATATATAATTTATTTTTTATTGCGTGTATTATTTATTTTTTCGAGTTTTTGTATATCTTAGCCAAGCAACAGAAAATAATCATCGGCTGCGTTCGAGATCTGCTAGTTTGTCCGGAAGACGATTGGATTTTAACTTGCAGTCAAAGTCATCGGAAATAAATAATACGGGCCAGCTAAAACTTACTAATATTGTCGGACATTCCACGACGAAATATCCTCGCGGTTCGAAATCAGCTACTTGCGCGAGAAAGAGTACGGTGAGATATATATGTATATCTCAACGCACACACACACACACATACACACCTCGCAAAAAACTAGATTTACATTCACGTATTTAATCTACTTGAAAATTCAACTAGTTTTCTACTTTAGCCGCCGTTATTACATCAGATTAATGAGGCAACTGGAAAACCTGATGAGTTGCGACTGAAGATTAGATCATTAACCGGTACCATTGTATATCTAGTGCACATATCTGCTGATGAGTCAGTGACAAAATTATACGAATTACTTAATAAAATGCAAACACCCGGACAGAAAGAATACAAAGTAGTTTTAAGCGGGTAAGACATATATAAGTACTTAATTTTGTTATATTATTATTTAAGTTTTATTTAAGTTATATTAATTATAAGAGTTTATATATATTATTTTTTTTACACCTAAGTTTTTGTTTTTATATATTATATAAATTATTATTCTAAGTTTAATCTTAATCTTAGCTTTGTAAAAAAGTAATTTGAGTAACGTATAATTTAATCGTTTTAAGATATTCACCGAAGAAATTGGCACGATCTAATATATCTTTGAGAGAAAGTGGGATTAGCAGAGATTGCGTTCTTCATCTTGTTAACGATTGAATGTTTATCAGCTAATTACATAAATATATCAATCTTAAGTATGTTGTATGTGACAAGAATATGTATGTTAAAATAGTAAATTTGAAGTCTTTAATAAAATGCCTCCGATAAATTTCAAAAAGAACAAACTCTTTTATTTATATACAGGGTGTCCCAGAATTGATGTAACATCTCTCGTAGACAGGTAGAAGTAAAACTGAGTCGATAAGTCCTATATCATTTTGCTAGATTCGCAATAGTTACCGAGATTTTAATTAACAAAGATCCGCGAATAAGCGTGCATCGGGCTGTCTTACGCGCGTAAGACACCCTGTATATATAATCACGTGTATTAAAATTTGGAATCTATTCCTCTCAACTTCTATTACTATTCTATTACTATTTCTCTACTTTATAAATACATGTTTTTCAAGTAAAAAAGTATTCATATTCACTTTAATGTAATATTAATTACATTAATATTATTAATACTTATTAAATATTTTTTTAATTAATTAGTTACAAGTTGTACCAATATTTGGTAATAATATACAAATTTTATATAGCACTAATATAAAATTGTTCCGGTTTAGTAATGGTTTGAATAAAATTCTTAACGATCTGTCACAATTTTCAATTTTTCTTCTTGAGCCATTAGCTGATTTTTTATTTTTTGTAATAATTCCTTCTTTACTGAATCTGGTACAAGTGAACGTGCTTTTGTTGTCACTGTAGCCAGTAATGTGTCATATGTAATATCATGGCCATGTTCTTTTATCAGTTCTTTTGCGATCAGCTTTACTTCATCTCGCCATCCACATTCAACCAGCCTGCGTCTCAATAATTCTCTCAGTCTAAAATTAAAATTTATAATATTTACATGTATATATCGTCACTCCCTATTTATAATTACATAAGTGTCACATATGGGATTTTCAATTTATTGCATAATGACACTTAGAAAGTCATGTTCTTTATGGTCACCAAATATTTAAAAAAAATATTCATAAATAAGGTACAAATTTGAAACCGAAAGATCCCTAACTATAGGGAAACTTATGAAGCTTTATACTTTAAAACTGCTCTCCTCTAAAATTTGCGTTTTGGAGTTACGGGATTATACGTAGGGAGTGACGATATGATGGTAAGATGTTACTGTCTCTAAATCTCTCAACAATTTCTTAAATTACATATTATAGACAAAATAATCGTACAAAATGTTATATAAATAAAAAAATGTGTATCATGGAAAATTTTTTATTAATTTTGGTAATTATTACAGAAAATAGTGTTATATATTCTTACCCATCACGATCGCCGACCATGACTAGTCTCTGATGTGGTGCAGTTTTCATTGTTAATAATTTTGTTTACATTTAGTTACATGTAGTACACTTTCTAACTTCAACGTTCTATATTTACAAAGTAAAGTTTATTGACTTGACTTTTTTGTAGCCTGCGACCTTCAAATCATCCGTCCATATACCAGTCTGCAATGAAAATCCAGTCAACAGACCGGTAAAATATTTGACAAAGTTGCGTTGATTTGTTTCGGTACTCTTTTGGCTCAGTGGACCTATAAAGCTAGTCCATACACCATTCTATGTCTTTTTGATAACAGGTTTAAAACCGTGGGTTGGGTTCCTGATGCCAAGCCACGGAGTTGTATATTTGTTTAAATTAAAGATAATAATAAAGAAAGTGGTGTAAAACACCAACAATTGTCCAAAAATACTCACAACGTAATTACGCACATCCAACTGATACGGTTGATGCAATCCAACTTACAAAGTTGCGTTCTAAAGCTGAACACTGGTAATGAATTTTTATCTTCCGTTACATATAATCTAACCTAACCTATGAGCAATGTTGTGCGTTTGTCACACAAAAAATTATGTTTTGAAACAGCAAGTGCCATTTAGCGGCAGTATATACCTTATAAAGTGCATTGAATCAGAAAGAAGAATGAGAGCGGCCCAGGCGATAGATAAGGCCGATAAGAGTTTTTACATAGACGTATAATATATGGACTGCGCGTTCCCTACCTTTGCCATGTTAAGAAAATGTCTTCGACGTTGAGAGAGAGACAGCTGGTGTTGAATAGTAGCCTCATCTTTGTCTTAGCGAAGTAGTGGGGGAAATGATAGACAGAGAAAAAGTTACTATTCAAAGTATGTTGTCTCTCTCAACGTTGAAGACATCTTTTCAGCCAAACGCGCAGTCTATATATTATACGTCTATGAGTTTTTACGATCGCTTTTCCGGCTTATTCCACACAAGTCTGTATACCGACGCACGTGCACATAAAGCCCGTTCTACATTGATTGCAAGTGCAAACGCAAGGTATAGATCTCGTAGAATTGACCAATCACGCTGGTCAATTGGCTGATTCGGGCTGCTTTCCTTTTAGGAGACACAGTCGACACAAGTCGACACAAAAGTCATTTTGTCTTTGTTCAGTATTCAGTGAGAAACAGAGACAGAATGACTCTTGTGTCGACTTGTGTCGACTGTGTCTCCTAAAAGGAAAGCAGCCTCGATCAATACGATTAGTCAATTTTACCAGACCTGTTTCTTGCGTTTGCGCTTGCGATCAATGTAGAACGGGCTTAAGAAAATGTGTAATCGCTTTTCCGCCCTGTAAGCCAGCGCAGTGTCCATGGGTGGTGCACATTGGCAACTACGTAGCCATGTCTACAAACGACTTGTCGGTACATACGTTATGTTCATACGTGGACATGGTTCTATTCCGTGCTATGTCCACAGCATGCAGTTCTATACCGCGTTCACTATTTCGATCGCTTTTCTTTCCCTATGCGCAGTAAAATTCTCTTCTTGAATTGAACGCAGTATATTCTGGGGTCGATTCTGGGTGCTTTCCAACTACGTACACAGGCAACACTGTGTAACACAGTGTCCATTAGTGTGAGAAAGAGCATATTAGTGTGTCTCACTCACACTAGTGGACACTGTGGTACACAGCGTCGCCGGTGGTTTGCAATACTCCATATAAGCTTATAGTTTGTGACAATATATATTTTATTTTTCAATAAAAAATACTATATTGATATAAATATACTTCAAAACAACTCTGAATAAGTATGCCCAAATATGGGCAGGTAGATCACTAAAAGTATCGACACGTTTCAATCTTTTTGTAATTCTTACATCAGTGTTAGTAGAATATCAGCAATAATAAATTGTTATTACTACGTGTTTACTACTGTGTTAATATTACAAAATATGGCATCCGTGCAAAGATTAGGTCAAATTCTCCAGGGAAGACATTTAATTACATCAAGAATGGCATATTGTTATAGTGCTGTTAGTAACATTAAACACAACGCTTCATATTCAACAAAGAAAGTTGTAACCAAGATTGAGCCTGTAACTGAAGAGAATAAGATGCAAGTTAGCACTACAGAAAAAGGTAAAGTTCACAAAGTCTGTATATATATATTACATATTAGTACTAAGATTATATATTCTTTTCTTTTGTTTTAGTCACAAGAAATATAAAATCTGCTGGATATTTAGGCGTAATAATAGCTGGTGTTGGAATTACTGGTGCAATATTGTATACTCTGTTTTCTGAACTGTTTTCTAGTAACAGTCCATATGGAGTTTTTAGCAGAGCTCGAGTTTGTTGCATGGAGCATCCAAAAGTTGTTGATCTTCTTGGAGCACCACTGAAAGCTTATGGAGAGGAAACAAGGCGTGGACGCAGAAGACATATCAAGTACAATTATAACAATAGCTTTATATATAGATTTTGCATAAATGCATATGTAAATAATATATTTTCATTTTTTCCAGCCACATGTATTACATAAAAAATGGTATTAAATATATGAGAATACAATTTTATATAGAAGGAACAAGAAGACGTGGAACTGCATATGTCGATGTAAAAGAAGTAAGTTTTTAGGTCTTCTTTTTTACTATTTCTGATTAACTGTTTAAAACAATTATTGCATTGCAATTGATCAGTTATATTAATATATCTGTAAATTTAGTGTAATTTTTTATGGTACATATATCATTTTATTCGCAATTATGTACTTTCAGAGTTCATCTGGAAATTATGAATATGTATATATGTGTGTTGTTGTGAATAATATTGGAACAATCATAATAGAAGACAATCGGAATAGTGTTGCAACACAAGAAAATCCAGAATCCAAATTAGATTTCATGTAATTATAACATTGTCGCTGATCGTCTCGCAATATATATATATATTTATATAAATCCCGAAACGACTAATGTATATATAAATACTATGTATACATGTAATGTGATAATTATCAAAAGAATATGTGAATATGTAAATAATAACATTTTACATGGTTTGTAAATCAAAATATGTGTGAAAGTGAGATTTTTTAGAATATATTTTTAATTCTCTTTTTCGTGTGTATAAATTATTATAATTTTGTTCCTACTTGTAATGTTATAAAAGATCAGTGATTTATTGTATAGTTGTATACAATAAATATAGTATATAAATATACTATATAAATATACTATATTTTTATCGTATATATAGAGTTGTATATACTGATTTAACTTTTGTTATTGGTTTTTTTAAAGCTATTTATTAAGAACTTACGTCAGATTTGTACTTCTAATCTAAATTTGAACAAGAGTGATGAGAAGTAGATTCATGACAAGCGTCGCGTTGCGTCTTCGTTACGGAAACGGAACTGAGTTACGAAATTCAAAGAACAAATTCTTGCACAGCGCGTTACGTGGTCGCTAAAAATATATATTCTCGCTATCATTTACTCATACGACGTGTGAGTTTACGTATGTCTAACAACACGTGTACCTTATCAGACGCTAATAATTAATTAACTAATAAACATACGCGCACGTTCCGTATAACAAATTGTCTTTTCCTTGTGGTCTTGTTATCACACCCATTAAACCGTGACGTATCGTAAAACCTCAAAAGAAAAATTTATGTTTTAGATAAATACTGACATTTCTAATTATCTAAAGTTTGAATATTATTTTAATGAATAATGTTTACAAATAGTAACTGAAGTGCGGCATTTTATTGTTTTAACTTGATTATAGTAACAAGCATATCCGTTAAGTGGAAAAGCATGTTATACAGTTACATAAAGATGCACAGTGTTTGCGATACCCACGTTAGCGCATTCGCATATCATTACTATTAGCTGTCTCTCCTAAAAGTTAGACGAAGTTGGCGGGAAATACTATCGTTCGCTTCACTGCCAATAGCAGCTGATTCTCACTGACAGTTGCTCGACAGCCGGCGACGAGAACACTGAACACGTTGTTTTAATCATCTTATATACTTTCAAGAGATTACTTATTACTTATAATCATGTGATATCGCGCAAAATTGCTTGTGAAAGAAAAATTGTTTAGATTGTTTTGCAGATATGATCGTCAGATATTTTGGAAAAAGTTTTGTAATAGTGGAAAAATTAAATTTTCACATTCATGCAATATTTGATAATGAGAAATTATATTTTTTAGTTTAAATAAAAAACATTAACGTGCATATCTAGTAATTTTTTAAGTGTAACGCTCAAGATTATTTCTTTCTAAAGTGTTATTTCTGTAGTACATCAGCAAATCGTTAGTAGATCGTGTTTCTTGAACGACTCGATGTCCTTGATCAAATGCACTTGATTAGACTGAGAAATAATTACTACATTGAAGATTTACACTTTTCTACAGTTATTCGTATGAAAACGAGTATTTTTATATAGCGCAAAATTTACTTCATTTACATACAACGCATAAAATAATTGAAAAAAGTTTAGGGAAAATAAAGTTGAATTCAGAAAATAAATTAGGTAACGTATCATTAGATGTGATTGATGCGCGCGTATTATGATCGAGAGGCAGTATTGAAGATACAACTTCTGCACAGAAAACGTCTGCATCTGCTTAACAATGAAAAAGTGTTGCTCGTGCTCGTGTTTCTCCAGATTCAGGACCGTTTTCAGACCGCAACCTTTGCCAACTCCACGACCACCTCCAGCAACTGTCCCAGGTAAGTTAATAAGTTGATTCTGTACTTAAAAATGCTTTTAATTAAAAGAAAATAATAAAAATTAAATAAAAATATCAAATAAAATGGCGATATTGTTGATACGTATATTTAATTTTTACACGTATTGCTATTTAGTAGAGGCGAAGAGTTTCTAATTACAGCGTTATTATGAATGTTGATTGATTAAAAGTTCAAGGAGAAAAGAAAGAGTAACTCTTCAAATATACTATGTTCTTAATGTTTTCCTGAAATTGTAACTAAATAAACTCTTGCGAGATCGCAATTAGTCGCGCGTACGTACCAATATTTTGGATCACATTAAGAAAAGATTTTAAAAAATTACGAGAGAGATAAGAGATAAGAGTTTTATAGCATCCTGTTTGTCACATAAAGTGATCCGCTTCCATTACGTACGTCAATAGATTTTTGTGGCATTTTGATATCCCGACCTTTCGCTTTACCGATACTTGACAGATGATATACAGACAAATATTCAATAGAAGCGATCATACGTTTAGTTAAATTAGCACGATGTTAGCTATTATCAAGAGTTGTGAATGATTATCCACGAATGTATCTCTTTCTTGTACAACTAAGAAACCTATTATTCGTAAAGATTGTTTATTGTTACTTTAGTGAGATATTCGATTTTGTATTACTTGACGAGTCATCTCGTTAAAATTACAATGTACAAATAACTAGAACACAATTAGCATTCGTCATCAAATGTTATCGGTGATTCACTGTTACAATTTCTCCGATCATTGACTTCTCCGAGATTTGCGATTGAATGAAAAAAAAATAGACGATTATTGATAAAGAGGCATTTTCAGACACATTTAGCCTGACACGTAGCCAATTGACCTTTCGGAGGGCGGAGATTATACGCGGGAGGGATGAAAATCAATTAATAAGACGGAGAGATAAGAGACGAACGTCTGCAGCGTGAATCACAAGCGCGTAAAATAATATGGTTCATATTGCTGCAAATCAAGTCGCGACGAAGGCGCAGACGACAAGACAAAAATAATGCAGCAAAATATTATCTTTCTTACGAACAACACAAATTATCGCAAAGAATCTCAAAATATCATTCCAATCTTTTTAAACATCATACAACTTTTTTTAAAATCAATTAAATTGTTACAAATTTATTCGATAACACTTTTAAGTTATTACATTACAAATTTTATGTGTGTGCCTTTTTTAAATAGAGTTTACTAACTATATATATTCATGTAAACGTATTGAAGAGTCGCGTCAATCAAAGTGCAAATGACTGTAAACTTGAATGTTTGAACACGTGCAGGTAATGGCAAGGTATTAAGTTACAAAATCATAATGCATTAATCTCAATATTCCAGTCAAGAAGTACCACAGAGTGCTTTTCCGGTGTGTATCCAAAAGAATCTATTTTCAGAATACCGGTCAAGGAAACGATACCTCGTTTAGGAGTTTTGCAAGACGCGCACGAAGAAACTGTGCGTTCGGTATGTGTGTCTTTCTTTCTTCAAGATCTGGTGTAATAAAAAAAGTATTCTCTCAGAGCCGATTATGCATTATATTGCGATATATCGAAATATGAAGTCGTCATAAAAAAAAAAAAAAAAAAAAAGGAAATCGCAAGATCGAGAGTTAAATTCGATACACCGACGATAATTTTATTATCACAATGGAATGGAACGACGAACTGATAGACGAGACGAATATTAACATAAGTAGGCGTTAAGAGCCTTGGTTGTTTGTTAACGTTCAGAACGTCGAATATTATTACTTATAGACTTAGCGATTTATTCCGTTACGTAATAATGATTTATAAATCGAACAAAAAAGAACGTAATTATCTACCGTTATAAAAAAAAAAGGCAAACGATTTTTTTCCCAACGTTTTGTTTACGTTTGAATCAAAAAGAGATAGAAACTCAAATGTTCGTCAAAATAAATATTTAGAGAAGCGTGGAGAAAAGATATTGTTTTCGTAAAAGGATTGCAGTTTCTGGCTATGTCTTCGGAGAAGTAGTTCTTGTAATTTGACGATCGGCCGAACGATCTGTAAATAAACGCGGATTCCATCGATACAATGCGCGATGTGTTTCTTGTTCGAGCACGCTCGATTTATCGTTCTCTGGTTGAGAAAATATACTCAAGCCAGATGAGAAGTGTCAGCTTCCGTCTCTCTCGCGAGATGGCCGACCTTCGCGTCAAACATCGCGACGCCGCGTGGATTATGTGCATTATTTAAATTCGCAGTATTATTCATTAGGCACGATTATATTTGTATTCGTGTGTGTCATGCAAAAGCTATTTATCACGTGTCGTCGACGTATGTACACGCGCGCATACAAAGAAGAAAGTATTCGCGATATTCGCACAAGCTTTCCGTATTTTTCTTTATATAAAAGAACTTTTTACAGGTCAAACGCCTATTTATTGAGGTCAGATCTTGAACTTAAACATTTGTAGATAGATATCTCTATTAAATCACGCGGCACACCGCAATGAATGAAAGTGAAATTATACACGGCGCCGTGACCGCTAAACGATGACGTCACTTTCGCTGACGTAAAAATACTCGCGTTATTAGCACACATACGCTCTTACTTTTTAAATAGCTTAAGTAACCTAAATCTATTTAAAAAAAACTCAGCTCTCAGTTTACAACGATTAAAAATCTCAGCTTTTCTCAAGGTCAGAAGAACTAACAAACAGAGAATAACATATAGTTTATAATCCAGATATCTGATTTCTCGTAAAAAAGAGAATTTCTCGTTTTTATCAAGAGATAAAGTATGATAATTTGTTATAAATATGTCGCGTATACATAATATACTTTCGTGAAATTCCCCTGGGACTTTTTCCGAATGGACTTACGACCGGAAGATTAGTCACACGAAAGCTTTGATAATTCGCGTTTTGTCATTCACCAGAGATGTCGTCTCCACTTTCAATCTCGGATTCTCCTCATTAAGTCACGCTTTTCTAGATTTTTTTGTGACTCATCTTTTTCCGTATAATCTGCATAACGCATAAACGTGTGAAATGAATTTCTTATCAGAATCACATGCATACAAACACATACTCCAGAGTTCTCATTTCTTTTTTAACTAAAACAATTTTATTAAAATTATAAAACCAAAAATTTATATATCAAAGAATTGTTTTTATATATATTAGACACGATTTTCTCTTTTCCAAGTTACTGAGAAAACGAAGGTTTCAATTTGCATTCTTCTTCCATGTGTTTCTCAGATACAGATTTATTACCGTGTAGGAGGCGGCGCTTCTGATGTGCTAGCACGATAATTATGATATCTCGATGTGTATCAACGAGAGCATCAACAAATTGCTCGCGGCTGATCATTTTACTTGCACACGCCTTTAGGTGCACATTCCGGTATAAGAAATCTAATTGCAACACTCGGGAAAAATTCCCGTCTGCGTCCGTGGCTCGTAAAACTGCATTCTTAAAGTAATCTTGTTCTATGCGTAAAAGAATGTATTCTGCAAAAGATAAAGTAGTATATATTTTATTTTAGTATTCTATTACAATTTGTTAAATATTTCGATAATCTATTTTTCTATTTTTAAATTCATAGTTGCTTATCAAATAACATTGCATCAATTAAATTCATGTTTCATATGAATTTTTGTACAAAAAAAGTGTACAAAGTTGTATGTGATAAAGTGTGTACACGGGAAGAATAATGTGCGCGTGATGCACATTGAAAGCAGAGGTCCAGAAAAGCACTTCTTCAAATTACGCGTCATTATCAAAGATAATGATCGCTCGTGACTAATACGTCTTGCTTTTCCATAAGAAGTTAAACTTGATTTTCTCAAGTGACCTAAAATCCCATGAACGTTCTACTTGTTGTCCGAATTGATTTTTTGTATCAACCAGAAATGGCGATTGGTAGTTGGCAATGATAAAGTATATTTGTTTTTACACGAAGACACAAAATACGTTTCTCAAAATACGTAAATGCGGCAATAAGTACATTGAATTGATAGCGCACGAAGTAATGATATATTCGATAAGCATTATTATAAATTAAAAATAAATTAATTTAAAAAAAATTTAATAACAGAAACATTTGTTACGTGTTAAAGAAAATTATCCTGATTAAGACTTATATGTCGCGGCGATTTAATTGCACACGCGGGAATCTTGTGTAACTGGATTTTACATAATCCAGAGTAATGATCGATCTTTTCTCTGATCATTCATTATCGACGCCGCTCTAATTTGCGGAACTTTCTGACCTACTAGATTACTTGATATTTCAAAAGCAACAATACATTCTTTTTAAGTCTGGTAGGTGTTAATGACTCTTTTGCCATTTGTAGATACATGTCATTAAATTATTTGCGTAGGTATATTGTCCAGCAAATTACAAAACGCTATTCACATTCATATTGTAAGCGTGACTAATTTTCGCAGTCTTGTTTGGTAATCATTAATTTGAAAGAAGGCCGCGAAATTGTGATTCAAGGAGAAACATTAATAAATGTTAGACAATAATATAAAAAGCTGTTAAAGTAAATAACATACTATTTGTGTAAAATATATTAAATAAATATGTACTACCTGAACTAATATATTTATCTAATACTAAAATCCTGTTATATATATTGTGGTCTTGGTGTTAGCTGTTTCAACCTTTGCAGCTCGTAAGTTACAAAAATATCCGTGGACTAGTTATGAGACAGCGGATAATCCTGGGTATATTAAGAATGACGACAACTGCGATTTTTCTGAATGCATTCTCAGAAAACAATAAAGCGTACGTCATTGTAACCCTGAGGTATCAAACCAGTTAGCTACTTTTGTCTATCACAATTTATATAGATTTATATTGTTATATTGTTACTGAAACTTCGCATGTGTGTCAATTTGAATCAAAACTATTTAGTAATATCACACGTACAAATGTAATACGTTAAAAAGTTTAAAAAATTACTGATAATCCAAACTCATTATCATGTCACCGATTGATTAATGGGAACGAAAAGTGGGTGACTCCTACCGACGTTAGTGTCACCGATGACGCCATGTATGGTTGCGGTGGCGTTGCAGCACGTGCGTCCTTGAAATTGCTCCTAGAACGCACCGATCCACCTCAGATTGCACGTTCTTCCTTCCTCTTCATCGTCGACGGTCTCTTCAGTCAATCAGTAAACTCGCGTTCGACGCGATCCTCGCCAATGTATCCGACTTATCGTTCGTATCCGCGCCCGGTGCACGGATTTCATTCAGATCGTAGTGGAATGTTTTACAGATTCTACGATCGCTATCGAATATTCAACGATCGGCGCACTCGACCGTTTCCATTCAGATTTTATTGTAAGTCCTTCGCCTGCTCAAAGAAGTAAAACTAAAATGAACTATAAAGCTGTAAATTATTTGACATTTTAATTAGTTCGAGAAATTTGTTGTCAGAAAATAGCGTGTGAAAGAAAGGCAAAATCAACAAATCGATCTCTAAAAATATTTCTTCGATCATCAAATGATCGAAGGCATAATTATATCAAGCGTGTGCCTCGTCACAAAATGGAATTTATAAGTTTTCTCTCTTTTTAAAAATGTTTGTTTGACTACATAAGATAGATGTTTTAATTTTCGAAGTTGTTAAACAAAACTCACAGGGGAAGACTATGGCGTTCCAGTACTGACAATCCGTAGTGTAGACTTCTGCATCGAAGAGAACGGCGAGAATCATCGGACATTTAGATACGAGCTGATGACCCGTCATGATGACAAAGCGAGACTTGTTGTCAGACGTGGCCAGGAATTTTATCTGCATCTCAACTTATCCCGGGACTACGATTCTTCCATCGATGGGGTTTCTATCGTCTTTACTCTGGATGGCATCGAGAAGCCGCAATACGGACACGGAACTCTGGTGGCAACCGCTCTGCTCGATCCTGACGAGATTTCCGAAGCTGCCTGGCAAACCACCATAGTTGCCCTAGAGTCGAACTTCTTAAGAATAAAAGTAAATTTGATCTTTGAACTTCTTATTACTTTTCACAATTTGATTTTGAAGTTTTTGCATATAAAAAGAAGAAGTGTCTAACAAAATTGGTCGCTCGCTAGGTTGTGCCATCCGTGAACGCGATTATAGGCAAATGGAAAATGGAAATCGATACCAAGAACAAGCAAACCGAAGGCGCTGTCAGTTATTCGGTGAATCAGCCATTCTATCTGATATGTAATCCATGGTGCAGAGGTACATATTGCATTTTTGCGTTTTCTTCAATAAGATCTCAGCATATTGGCAATTTTGCATAGAACATCTTTCTTTCAGACGATGTTGTATATCTGGAGAACGAGGCTGAACGCCAAGAGTATGTGCTGGCAGAGGACGGTTTGATCTGGCGTGGCAGTCACAATCGTATGCGACCCACCGTTTGGAAGTACGCACAGTTCGAACGAGACATTCTGGACTGCGCCCTGCATCTGATGAACCAAGTCGGCAAAGTTCGCGTTAACGGCAGAAACGATCCCGTCGTCATAACGCGATGTCTGTCCGCTGCGGTAAGGCCATTTTACAAAATTTCTTTTCACAAAAAAGCGAGAAAAGCCAAACAATATCTTGTTCAGACTAGCTTTTTGTTGTTTTCAAATGAGCTACTTTTAGGTGAATTCTCCCGATGACAACGGAGCGGTGATGGGAAATTGGTCAGACGATTACGGAGGTGGTATACCACCTACGAGATGGATGGGTTCGCAGAAGATACTCCAGCAATATTACAAGACGAAGAAGCCGGTCAAGTACGGACAATGTTGGGTCTTCTCTGGTGTATTGGCGACCGTTTGTCGCGCTCTGGGTATACCTTGTCGAGTGGTAACGAATTATTCGAGCGCGCACGATACTCAGAGCAGTCTAACCGTGGACTACTTCGTGGATGCTGAAGGCAGAGTCATGGAAGAGCTTAACAGCGATTCTATATGGTAAGTTTGAGAAAAAATTATTTTAATTTATAGTGACTTCTAAATATCATTTTGTAATTAAAATTTAGAGAAAACAAATAAAATATAATACTAAAAAAAAAAATTAAATATATGATTTAAAATAGAAATTCTATTTTATTTATTTTTCTTCATGAAAGGAATTTCCACGTCTGGAACGAAGTGTGGATAGAGCGACTGGACTTGTCGCCTGATTGTTCGGGATGGCAGGCGATTGATGCGACTCCTCAGGAGCTGAGCGAAGGCGCGTATCGTTGCGGTCCAGCCTCCGTGGCCGCTGTGAAGAAGGGAGAAGTTCTGCGCCCCTACGACAACGCGTTTCTCTTTGCCGAAGTGAACGCTGATAAAGTTTACTGGCGGTATAATGGACCTACTCAACCGTTGAAGCTAGTTCGCAAAGACATGTACGGGTAAGTGTGAAACATATATGCTTCGTCATAAAAGAAATATCTATTTGTTAATACAATAATAGTTTTTAATAGTTTTCAATTACAAAAATGTCATTAGATTAATCACAAGTAATCGAGCGATAATGATTTTGCAGCATCGGTCAACTAATCAGCACGAAAGCGGTTGGAAGATGGGCGAGGGAGGACATCACGCACACATACAAGTATCCAGAAAGTAAGTAACTTTTGACAAAAATTTCTTTTATCCAGCTGCAGCTTGAAGAAACGAAATTCTCGATAGGTACTTATTGCCAGATAATAGTCATTAACCCTTATTTTATGACAATCACTTCTTGTGATAGAGTCTGACGAAGAACGGGCTGCCATGCTGAAGGCGCTGCGTCAAAGCGAGTCTTTGTTCAGTCGTTATTATCTCAACGAGGAGTTTAATGATGTCATGTTTACTTTTGAACTGCGCGATGATATCATAATCGGACAGCCATTCAGGTACTTAATGTGTATCAATTAAGTCAATTTATGTATTGTTGATTATTTTCTTTCAGTTAATATTAGCAACTCACTGGAATTCAGCAAAAATATGTTGCAAGAAAATCTTGTAATATTTATTTGGATTTGTTTTTATTGTTTATAGCGTTGTATTACTGATAAAAAATCGAAATTTGTCAATGGAATATCATATATCCGCGATTTTGAGAGTGGAAACTGTACTGTACACCGGTCGGGTGGGTCCTCCAGTGAAAAGACTAAACATCGATAAACTAGTCCGACCAGGAGTGCTCGAGGAAATTCGCATGGACGTTTCCTGGGAGGAATACGGTCCGAGATTGTTGGATCAATGCGCTTTCAATATCGCCTGTCTTGCTACTGTGAAGGACACGAATTTCGAGTACTTTGCTCAGGATGACTTTCGCGTCAGAAAGCCTGACATTAAAATCATGGTAATTATTACATTTTAAGAAAAATAAAAAAAAAAGAAGAAAAAACAGAGATTTAATTTAAAATATAAAAAAAGCATATTAAAAGATTTATAAGATTTATTAAATTTTGCGATGCAGTTGCTCAGCGACGCAGTCGTTGGTCAGACTCTTAATGCCACGGCCCAATTTCGCAATCCGTTGCCGATTCCTTTGAAAAAAGGTAGATTTCTCATCGAGGGTCCTGGTTTGGACGAACAATTGAAAATAAAGCTATTGGAATCTGTCGAAGTAAACGAGGAAGCTAAATGCACCTTCTCTATGATACCGAAGCTGGAGGGACGTGCTAGAATAGCCGCAAAGTTTTACTCGAGAGAATTAGAAGACGTCGACGGTCATTCAGATAATTTTATAGTTAAACCGGCGAAAATAATGAGTAATTATGAATAATTACGTGAGATTGTTTTTGATAATTTAGAAAATAATGAAGTGTTTTTGTTTTTGATAATTTAGAAAATAGTGAAGTTTTTAGCTTGTCGTCTTTGTAGTTTATTATTAATGTTAATCATGCAATATATACACAATAATTGTTCTATGACTGTAGCGAGAAAAAAACGTAGTATATTGTAAAGATATAATTAGATATAACTATAATTGCTTAATGCCAAAAATCAAAACTACAATAATATAATAATAGCGCATGCAATTAATTTATTATCTTTTCTGCCAGTTATCATTACAATATTACTTATGTATTTATGTGTTCATAGAATGTATGTTAATCGTAACACATTTATACTATATACACACATATATAATATGTATATGTTATATATATTTTATATATAAAAATAATTTTTGACATGTACTTTTTATCATATTTCATGTTACTTATCAATTCTAACATTGCAAATTAAATTTCACGGACCGACCTTAATGATAATCGTCACTGAACCAGTTGGTATTCAGCCGACCGATCGGTGTCAGAAATCATTCGCGGGCACATTTATCTCCGTAAATTGTGAATTGCTTAACGGACGCGGATGTCATTGAAATAACGACGGGGAACATCGTCATGCCGCGCGTTTTACGCGATCTCGCAGAGAGGAGAATCCCATCGCGGCCATACTGTCCCATTTTCTGTCGGCTCATATCGGCATCGCGGGCCCGATGACGAATCGCTTACGTTTAACGTGAAATGTCGGTTACTTTCAAGGAGCGACAGCACGAATGGGGTACCGGTTCGTGCCGCGGCTTCCGCGGTGGGCACCGGTAAAAAATTCAATCGACAGAGACTACCTGGCGGTCGATATTAACGACCGGCAATCGAGAGGGTCGCTGTGGCGAGTGCGTGATTATTCAGAAAAGAAGATGAAGAGAAAGAACAGGGGCGGAACTATACTGAAATTTGCGATAAGAAGCTCTTTTAGATCTTAGATCTTTAAATAACTTTATAACTTTTTTCGTCGGAGAGAAATGTGTACGCACTAAGTAAAGAGTTTTAAGATCTTTGAAAGATTACATTTTCCAACAATTTTAAATAATGCGAAAATTTAATTAATTTAATCGTTCGTTGTCTGTGAAATAAAAATACGTTTGCTCTATCTTAAATTGAATTTTACGAAAAATACTTGACGTAGAAAAAAAAATTTGCTTTGATTCTTGCTTGTTCCCTTTTTTGAGAAAGCTCCAAAACTCATCAGCTTTAAACTGTAGAAAAGTTATCATTCGCTCCTGGAGAAGAAGAAGAAGAAGAAGAATTTTGTGCGCGCGCGCGCGACAGCAGGGGGGAGGGAAGGGAAGAGGAAACAAAAAGGGAATGTGGATGATGATGAGCTCCGGGCTGATACGAGGCAAGGCTGACGTGAACGATGTATCACCATCCGGAAAATTAATGTTGAAATATAGGCCTGAGTGAACGATACGCGGCGCCCAGGCAGCACCAATGGGGTCCAAGGAGGAAATGCGCGGTGGCGATGAAGAGGATTGCACGGAGGGAGACGAGGAGTTGTTACGAGATCGATTAATGAATCGTCGGGCGAAATAGTAAGGTGGCGAGAGAATACCGGCGAAGCAAATTGGACAGAGAGTTGAAGGGATGAGTGATGAAAGGGAGCACATTGAAGAAGTGATCGGAAAGCAAATGTGAATAGGTGTTCTGAGATTTTGTGTGATCCGATCGCGAGTATAGTTTTATATCTGTCTTTTTTAAATACTTCTGAAATAGTCAGATCTCTATTAAATCAAAGAAGAACACGAGTCGGATGAAGTTTTGCTGTTTGTATTTTGATTTAAATTAAACCGCGCTGCGCACACATTCTCGAACATCTTATAAATCAAGACAAGTATTTTTATGTCATATTTCTACATGGTTTTCACAAAAGATTTCTTCTTCTAAACCGGCTCTCTCTTTCCAACAAAATCAGTTCTTTTATGCCAATGTATTCAAACGAGACAAAAGCTTGATTAACATGCGACAGAACGACGAAGCGCGTCAGGCGGAGCGAAAAAATTGTGGAGGAGGACGCAGAATATAGAGAAAGAGAAAGATATGCGGAATGATAGTGCGATATGTCTAAATACATAACCGTGACACGTGATGGACGTGTTGCGGCCCCTGTCTACGGGGGTCTCGACGAGCAAGGGCCCCGATCGGGGCCCGCGCGCGGGCTCTGGACCTGCGGCACCCCGCTACGCGTTATGCATCAACACCCGGGATCCATCCCATTATACCTCATCAAAACAACAAACACGCCTTCCACGCTAAACCAACATCCCTTTGTTCCCATCGAATCCCGCGTATCCATCAGGATCGCCGCGCGAAGGATGCACGTCAGTGACGCGATCTCTTCGACGGGGGGTCCTTCAGGTGGGAGGGCAAGAGGAATTTGAGGAGAGATCTCCGTGAAATGTTATTAATGCCGCGGGGTCAGAAGGATAAGCACACTTGGGAAACGTCGTTCTGTAGATTTGTACCTGTCTTCGTCTCGTCTCGGCTCGCCTCGCACGAACGACGAAAAGACGTTGATTCGTGATAGAAAAGCGCATGCTGCGATATAAATAATCTGAATACTTTGGCGTATGCTACAGTGAATAAGAAGAAACCCCACTGCAAAGGGATTGGGAAAATTGAGCATCAGCTTCGGAATTTCTCGGATAAGTTATTCGAGGGAACAAACAAAACAACTCGATCATTTCAATTCGTAGAGTCAAAGAGATTTTTATTCCGAGAGGATTATAATCTTGCTGTTGCAAGAAGATATGATATCACGTAACACACATTGACATCATTTCATATGATATTTGACACTTAATAAGACACGAATATAATAAAATAATAAAAAGATAACATGTCGGTTTAACGTATTAATTTACGAAATCAAACTTGGATGCAATGTTTGTCGGTGATGTTCATGATACTAATGCTGTTTGCTGCTGTCGCTCTTAGATGGCAGCACGTATGATACTTGCAGGAAAGAAGTATATTTTCGGCGGTATGCAATATGCCATATAAGCTTGTAGTGATATATTTTATTTCTCAAAAAAAAAAAAGAAAAAAATAATCATATAAATGTGAACATGTATATAATACTTTATTTAAAACAGTGAATTTTAATAGTATTTTATATTTCATAGTATTTAATAGTTTTTATTTGAAACAATAAGTTTTAACAGTAATATATTTATCATCATGCAAATTGATTTTAAATTATAATCAAATATAAAACAATTTTAAACGTATTAGAATTAGAAAAAAAAACAAAATTTATCGCAATTTTTTATGAGACAAATTTCTCACATTCTTTTACATACAAACAAAGAGATGGTTTTTAAAAATGTCGAGATGAAGTCGATCGATCAACAGCGAGACTCGATTGTAGGCATCGAGAGAGAGGCCTGACAGTTTATTGCCAATCATATACAACCATAATCGGAGAAGGCATCGAATTCGCGTGACCCCAATAATCCATAATGACTCGTTATGGTTGACATGTCAATCCAGCCACATATCTTGGCCACGCATCCTCCTTCCACCGTTTATTAGGCCATTAGGCACTTTGCAGTTATCTCGCAACAAAATGTCCGTTTGTTCATTAATTCTATACATGTAAGTAACATTTTCTAATTTACATATCAAATATGCATGTTATTATATTCCCATTGGCAGTTAAGAAGATAAATAACTATTTTTGAGGTATGTATTTTGTCTTGTACGTATTTTAAGTATTCAAAGATTTTGCAACAGATGGAACATGTAGGACATGCGCGCGGAAAATATTGTAATAATGTAATTCAAGTGTGCGTGCGTGTAGCACGGGAATTAAGCACAAATGCAATAGCTTTAAACTCGAATAAGAATAACGCGAAAGATTACCATCGGTCGTTTTTCTTTCAATCTATTCCGTAGCGTTATGTGAGCGTCATATCAAGAAGGGAGTATTGTGCATTTTATATTAATTAAAATATTAAACGCGCGTAGAGAAACGTCCACACTAATACTGCATTCATGGCTGATGTTACTCTTGACTTGTCGTCAGAAAAACTCTTTGCAGTAAAAGTTGTGAAATGGGAGCTCTTGCGTTTCGTTTGATTGTTTGCTTTTACATGAATTCACTTAATAAGACTGGAATAACAATTGAATTTTATCTTACATTCTGCAATCCGAAAAAAATGTGGATTACGTAAGTGTGTCTAGTGAAATTACGTGCATCGACATGTCAGTTTAAAGCAGTTAATGTACGAAGGGTTGATTTTGGGGTCACGTTCGTTTTCTGTCAATCTGCTTTCACTACCTCGGTTGAGTTTGTGACTGACACTTTATTATTTGCACTTCTGCGCTCTCTCGCACGGTAACATTTTGCCACGGGGGGGGTTTGCTCAGACAAAGGATAACGAGCGCGAACCCGACTGTATAATGACAAAGGGCGTAGTAATTCGGCGGATTAGGAAATAATATCGCACATCCCTACGCAGATTCTCTGTGTTATACCAAGGTTAATCGAGACAAATCTCATAATAAAGATTTCTGTGATTTCCAATTACAGAGTAGTCTAAAATAAATATCGAACTCTTACTTCATGATATTCTGGTAAACAATATTTCGACTGATAAAGGAGGTAAAGGCTGAACGAATAATTTCACACGAAGGAATAATTTCTTTGGCTACATCTATGCAAATTTGCAGTATCGAATTTGGAGATCCAATTTCCATAGGCACGTCCGCAAGAGAAGCAGGAGGATGTTTACATAGGTAAAGCCAGCAGTTGCGAGCGTATTTGCACGAGGATTTCCCCGGCGAATCGAGCCGCAGGGCGAATTGGATACTCCGTCGACTCGTCCGTATCGTCGACGAAGGGCAGCGGTGGGTTCGGGATAAGGGACTTGTAGGAGGGATCTCTTCTGCGGTGGGAAGGGAGGCGAATAAAAAGGGGGCGAGAAATGGCGCGGATGCCTCATTACGCATGCACCCCCGGTAGAAGGGTCCGAGCGAGTGAGTGAGTGAGTAAGTGACTGACTGACTGACGTACCTCCTCGTCACGCATACACTTACAAACACGCGTCCACGTGTGCGGACACGCCTATTTTGTTGAGGAGCTCGCATGCAGCCACCGTGTCTGGTCGTGGTATGAATATTGCGGTAAACACCGCGTCGTCGGTTTTCATTTCCGCGCGACATTGATGCGGAAAAAATTCAGGCTTGAAATACTCTGGAAAATCTGAGAAAAGTGTCGCAACGCGAGATTCAAGTATTTTATAGAAATTTTAAAAGAATAAAATTGTGTGATTTGAAAAAACTTTTTTCACATGTATTGTAAAGGTGAAG